CTTGCAGCAGGCACCGACAAACACATTATCGTTTGGAACGCAACGAATGGAGAAGAACTGCTCAAGATACAAAAGCGGGCATACAGAATCGCATTCACTCCAGATAGTCTCCGTCTCGTCAGTGGGGACTGCAACAACATCCGAATCACAGATGTTGCTACTGGAGACATAATAAAACAGTTCGACGCGCACAACAAACCCTGTCAATCATTAGCCATTGCTCCCAATGGCAGCAAATTTGCGACCACTTCAACCGATAAGACCACACGATTCTTTGACATGAACACATTCGAACCCATCGGCGAGCCACTCGAGCACCCTGATGTCGTCTTGTGTGTGGCATTTTCCAAGGACAGCCAGCTCATCGTCACTAGCTGTGAGGACAAGCTCATTCGCACATGGACAGTCCCTCTGAGTGAGTCAGAGATGGAGCTCGAAGAAGTGAGCAAGTTCTCTCATCATGTCATACTTTGCGCTAACCTGTTATATAGTCCACTCAGAAGATTCTTCAGGTACGCTTTCACGCTCGTTATTTTGTACGATCCCTAACTTCAGTCCTGCAGAAAAGAGCGGCAGCACGCTGCTGGCGGTGACATCCATTGTGGTTGATGAAACTACGCCAGCAACGTGGCAGACTGGAAATACCAGTGCAGCTAGCAATCCCCCTTCCCCGTTGGATGTTGAACGTGTTCCAGACATCAGCTGCTTTGCAGCTCTCACAAGATGCTTCCCGCGTCTTTCACGTACTCGACGAATAAGCCCTGCCACTCCCCACACCCTCTAAGCGGCCTCTCCTATCCGAACCTTTTCGTTGGCATAGATATAACTGTCGCATTTATTTTCTTTCAAATACTTATGCAAACATGAACGACTCCACTTGTACTATGATACACAACATTCATAGATGTTCGGAATGGTATTTTCTCTTCATCCTCCTTTCGCGAACTCTGGACAGAACACGAAAACGGCAGTCAAGACTCCGATCTCGCACATGCACACTTACACCACCTCGGACTATCAAAAGACCGCAGTTTTGGTCGGTGCCATCGATATCCCCGCAATCTCGACTAAAGCACTTGCTGAAAGCGCAACCTAGATCTTAACGAATCTACTGGACATTACTACACAACCACCCCGGCTTGACGAAGTGTCCAATAACTGCTGTTCTTATCTCAACGCTTTCTATGTTAGCTTACCATCATCAGCCGGAGTCCCAACAATCTGATACAGTTGCAGTCTTGTATGATGCTGTTGCCAACGGTGACCAAGGCATAGATGTTGTCGGCGAGAACCATTCTGTAAGTACTGGTGCAGTGATATTCACGAGTCACAGTATTGGAAGGACAAAGTTCATTCACTACTACAGACTGGTCAGTAAGAGCACAACGACGCACAGGAGCTCGTTTCACACTCCTCGATCCGCAGTCAGCGTTCTCTGTTCAGTGGTATGCTTCTGTCGGATGCTCCACTCATATTCTACTACCTGTCTGGAGACACTGCAACAGTCCTTAAACAGTTTGGCGTCCACGCCCTATCGATAGCAGTTTGTATGCTTCACCTCGCACGCATATGGACCAGTTCAGCATCTCTCGCTCCGTGTTCGCATGGCGGTCAAACTTGTAATCGCGCAATAAATTGACTTGCAGTGCTCAGGAGAAACTATGCAATGGAGCAAAGCTGCCAATTTCAAGGACCAATGATGCTGGCAGGAACGAACATCTCATTCTGCCTCAGCCTCATCCAGTGGATGGTGCTATTACCACTTTCGAATCCATTGGCGAGCCACTCGAGCACCCTGCTACAGTCGTTTGTGTGGCATTTTCCGAGGGCAGCAAACTCATCGCGACTGGCTGTTACGAAGGACATGTTCGTACATGGACAGTTCCTCTGAGCGAGTCAGAGAAGGAGCTCCAACAGGTGAGCAAATTTTCCCGTCGTATCATACTTCACGCCCGCTGACCTGTCATATAGTCCACCGAGAAAATTCTCAATGTACGCCGCTTTCACGCTCGTTGTTTTGTACAATCCCTAATTTCAGTCATACAGAAAATCATTCCAGACCCATGGCCTCGCCCAAAACGCGCTCCAATACCGACTAATAGATTCTTCGATGATGTAAGTTCATATGATACAGTGGATCTGATGCACGTCTCACTATCCTTTGACAGTTTTATCCAACTGAACGCAATAATCGCGCCAGCACTACGTGCAACGCCAAAGGTTCCACAATCAAAAACATGGTAGATCGTATCTTTTCTCGCTCCTCCGCTTCCCAGGACCAAACTCCTCGCCCACTCGGTGTTCCCTTTGTGGACGTCTTTGCAACACGAGGCAAATATGTAAGCTTTCCTGACTTTTCGACATCCATGTAGTGACGTTGATATTGTCTCGCAGCGTACCGCTAATGCCCACAGTGGAAAAAGGCACAAGTTGTTGAAGGCACAACGTCCTCCTCGCAACTGGCAAGGTCACGCTGGTGCCTCGAGCAGCAGCACGCCACCAGCGGAGACATCCAATGTGGTCAATGAAACTGCGCCGGCAACGTTGCAGACTGGAAGCGCCAGACCCTCTTCCCCACCAGACGTCGCACCTGCCCCACACAGCAGTTGCTTTACGGTTCTCGCAAGGTGCCTCCCATGTTTATCACGATCCGCTTCGGCTTCCCGCTAGGCTTCTTGTCCCTTTTGAGAATTTTCGTCGGAGTAGATGTCACTGGATCCATCGGATACTTATGCAATTCGATGATGTTCCCGGTAGAGGACTACCATCGTATGGAGCAGCATCCTCTCGTTCGGCTGAATAGATACCACTTGTTCACCAGTCATACCTAATTTTTTGGATTGTTTGCACTAACAGAGCACACAATGTCGTGTAACCTTATCCCATACTTGCATGGCCAACCTAATGTATTCACAAAGCATCTATCGACTGTCGCATACAAGAGGCATAGTCGCATATCCTGATTTCAGCATAAGCATAAAGTACTTCAAAAGTCAAACACCGCATACGCGGCGAGCAGCACGCGGACCACTATGCAGACATACGGATGTACCGTAACATTCGTGCACGCGACGAGACTGTCGCATGACAACCGCCGGCTCGCTGAAGAAAAGGGATAAGCTGAAGACACCGACAGGCTGCCAAGATGCGACAAGAAGCGCAAGGGAGCTGGCCGTGGCGTCACCAGCCATGAACCAGTCATACACATAACAGCTCGCGCAGTCATAGTGCGCGCATAGGATCCGCAGCAGTGGAATAACTCGCGCCATCTAGAACGCAGTCCCGCCCGATTGTGTCTCCGCATACTGGCTCTTCACGTCGTCGAGGTCTGTCGTGCCGTCCTGACTCTCGTAATCATACGCACTCATGCTGGCCGTGTCAAAAGCACCAGCAGCAGAGGAGAATGATCCACGCCTCTGTAAACGGTCTGACTGCGAGAATGCCATGGCAGAACAGCTAATGCTTGCGGTGCTTGGCGGTCCAGTATCCTGAGAGATGATGGAACTGGCGTAGCTACCGTTGTGGCACAAGATCATGTCCAAGAAGCGTGTAATACCGGTCAGGAGTTTGATACATTGATGATTTTGATCCGATAGTGGAATGAACATACGATGTAACCATGAACGCTCTTCTCGGCTTCATCGAAACATGCCGTTCTTGCTGCATACATCCACATCTTGATTGTCCGAGCAACTTTGTCTCAGACCTTGTGTTAGTCAGACTTACGCTCACCCAATTTCTAAACCAGATATGGACATCCAGGTTCGTCCCCTTGGCCTGGGCCCATTCGAAGGAATCACTCACTGGCTCGCATTTATCCGAATAATATCTTCCTTGCAAATCGCAGGTGTGCTCTTTACGGACTGGCTGCATTTCCCAAGGTCAATGTCAGTGTGTTCGGACCTATCCCGCTGCCGATAATTCTACGCGACGAGACATTGAAGATGACACCAAAGGTACGAACACCCAGCACGGACATGTCGGGTTGAAAAAGCGAAAAAGGCAGTCCCCATTTCAGTGATATTTGGGCGCTGATCTACCGTAAAGCCAAAGATCCGGCACCGACAGGCATGTACCACCAGGGTCCCAATGATCTGCGATAATATGAGGAGTTTGCGAGACATGGAAACAAATTTAATGATATGCGAGTCGGAGATCCCCGCACCCCCGGAAATGATATGCATCAAACCGCTTTTTGTGGATTGAACAGTTCAAGATGACTAGTGATCACCCACGTCATCCTGTGTTTAACGGAGATAGCCTGCTTTTGACCTCCAGATCATAAGAGAACGCCCTGAGATCGAATCGTTATTGGATGACAAATGTGATGGGTGACGAAACCTCAGGCTGACTGAGCTGTAACGAAATCCACGAAATGACAGCTTGAAGCCACCCAACCCAATCTGTAATATGATGAGAGCATGATAAACTTACATAAAGAAGTAGTAAGTCATGTCTTGCAAACCTAGTACCACAATTGTTTCCCTTGATCCTGTGATAGTACGTACTCGTCGTGCACATGTCCGAGTACCTAGTATGTTTTTGCCGCGACCAGGCATAAGTAAGAGCCGACGGCGATGCGTCACGGTGGAGTGTCCGAGTGGATGAGTAACTGCCGGCAGACTGTCGTATCCTCCTTGTGAGTATCTGCCATCTTTTTGACGTGGCTAGACCACCAGTGGTTCCTCGATGGGTATTGACTAGGACTATTGAGTCATCAGTATGTACTCACATATTTCGGCCGTTAAATCAACGTGTCATGATAGTACGAGTGCTAAATACATCATGCACATGAATCATACATCGAGCTCCGGGGATGCACAAACGGCTTACAATATTAATATTAATGCAGTGGATTGCGCGATGTGAAAATGTTGCAATGTCATAGTGGCATGAGAACAATGTACCTGATAATCTAAAGATAGCAACCGCCCGCGGGGCTTTCCTGAATGAGTCATACACAATAATCTTCAGTACTTTATCATGTAATCAATCTTATTGTCGGACTGTCATCACTCTAGGTCAGCATCGACGCCCGACGGCCCGCCGCATAGCACAAAATGAGAGCTGTTGTTCAACGCGTCGCATCGGCCTCGGTATCAGGTAAAAATTATTAGCAAATCCATCACAGCTAATGTACCTAATCTGCATCGCAGTCGAGGGAAATGTGATCTCAAGCATATCCCGAGGACTGATGGTCTTAGTTGGAATCGGTACTGGTATGGATATGTACGCTGTGCAGATACATAGCCAACGAGTACCTGCACAGGATAGATGACACGCTTGCGGATGTCGAAACATTGGCCAACAAAATGCAAGGATGAGCGTATCCTCGGCCCTTGTTCTCCGTACTGACCACTAGCAATAGACTTAACATCCGCGTCTTCGATGCGAATGGCTTGATGTGGAAGTCGAACGTCAAGGACATCGCTGGCCAGGTCCTCTGTGTCTCCCAGTTCACGCTGATGGCAAACACTACCAAAGGCAACAAACCTGATTTTCATCGTGCGATGGTGTGCCATCTCAATATCTTGATAATTTAACGCCAATTGAATTGCTTTTCCACAGTCCTCGAATGCCTCCAGAGAACTGTATGCAACGTTTCTTGAGAAAATGCGGCATCTGTACGTGCCGGATCGAATACAAGGTTAGCTTCGTTCTAGTCGAGTGCACGATGACGTGGTTAATGTACTTTCCAGACGGGCAATTCGGTGCCATGATGGATGTATCGTTGACAAATGAGGTATGGCGTATCGCTACTCGAGCTTTTTATGCGGTGATGCATGCTGGCTTCATAGGGACCTGTTACTCTGACGTTGGATACTCGGAAGTTTGAGTATGTTTCCGTTTCAGGAGGTACAGACAAGAAATCGAGAGAGAACGACAATAAAGAGGCCAAGAATCAAATGGCTGATGTTGCTGGCTCGAGACCTGCTGCCAGTGTCAATCCAGGCTCGACTGATTCGGAGGTCGACGTTCCGTAGTGTTCGTGTGCGTGAACAATGTCATTTCTTCATCAATTTCTTTGACCCTGTTGCCGTTCCTGACAAAGTAGACTGAACCGCGAAAGTCAGTTTTGTAAGTTTGGATACTGAAAAGCCGATGTCACAGCAAGCTGGGCCATGTGGCATCAACTCGGAAGTATGACGGCAGAAAATATGCGAGATGACAGCGACAACTGTGATCGGCTACAACATACCACCGACGAGAGCCACAATGGCTTTCGTACGCCACCTGACCTTTCTTTCTCCGCCCCTCCAAGGCACCGCCCAACGATGCAGTCCCTTAATTTCCTCCTGTAATTTTTGACGTAATTCATCTGATGAGGTCGCCATCACGAAAGACAGCTCTGTGTCAAGGTTCGTTGAACGTGAGTTCAAGTTCGTCGACCCAAAAAGCGTGAGGACTGGCGGTGAATCTACTGAAGGAGAAAGCCAAATTCCTGAATGGAGGATATAAGATTTGATTACGCTCCAAAGCCAAGCACAGACCTTTTGCGTGGTACGTCCAACCATCCCTCTCCCACTCTTTGAGGCTGACATTGTGGTTACTTGAACAAGGTCGTCTCGCGGCTCTTACTGCCGACATAAAACGTTTCTCCAATAGGGTATATCCCTCAGGGATGAGTCCAGACAGGCCTCCAGACCCGTAGAAACCATTTGCCTGAGAACACAGGTTACATCATGATCAGTGGGCTGATCTTGGGAAAAATTCACCTTCGGACTGGCTGCTATGATACTGCATCCAACGTTAGATTTCAAAATCAGATCTTGGTATTCCTTGGACAGTCCAAAGTAGCCGCTTGTCAGATTCATAACAGGTTCTTGATTCAAGCGGTATTCGCGAGATGCCAAGTGATCGAAGAGCATCGACAGAGTATGCTCCTCTTCTCGGATATTGAATTGCCCAGCTTGGATCACAGGAAAGATGACTACATCCGACGAATTTGTCTGTTCTTCACTGCTGGTAGAGGACACGGACGAAAACAGATGTTTCATTTGAAACTGTGACAACACACGTTCTGCCTTGGACTGGATCTGCCACGGCAAAACAGACGTGTCGTCCCAATGAAGGGCAGGTCCATCTGGAGTTGCCAGCACTCGATACGAAAAACCAGAGACGGCCTGCAAGAATGAGAAACAGTAATCTGCAAGAGCAGGTTGTGCGCTGAAATGCAGATATCGATCTTGTCTATTCGAGAAATATGCCTTGTTCAGATTCGCTCTGTTATTTTGTCAGCTGAGCATTTTTGAGTTTCAGATGACTGACCCGCTGATCATAACTTCATCGTCAGAACCGTAAATTTTGGCGTGCCAGGTGCCCCAACCTTCGTTGAATCGAGGAGGGACTATATTTGTCATCGCTGCACTGAGCTTTGGACTCCGAAAAAGGGATATATGTACTCTGTGCTCATAGTTCCGTAGGAGGGGAAGAAGAGAGAGAATGGGAGATGATGGTCCAGGTCGAGTAGACCGGTTGTAGTCCAAGTTTAAGTAGAGGTGCAGACCGGGATTCGTCCGAAGTGCATCGTCTAAAGCGTTTATCTGGTGACCATCAGGAAAACATTCTTTGTCGGAGAATGCATGATGTACCTACCAGCTCTGTCTCCGAGAAACCAATGTATAATGACGACAGAAAAATCCGCCGCCGTGCACGACGGATGATGTTCTAGCATGCACACCGTCGGAAAGTCTCATGAAGAGGAGATACGTATGCTTACGAGTAGGTTCGCGTAAAAGTCAGAAGGCTGTGAAAGCACATGCACGTCTTTCGAGGCTACCTTGAAACTCGGCTGTTTCTGCGCGAGACAAGACACGAATTCACGGATAGTAGGATCAAATTTGCGCGTCATAGAAAAGTTGCGCGCACATTGGGAAATATTAAAGGATTTCAGGAGTTCCTTGTGCGTGCCGGAGTGCCTGCATACGTTTCTGTATGCTGCTGCGAGCATGTAAGTATTTTCAACCTTGGGTGCTATAATGCTATTTACGCCGAAAAGGCAAATTTAGCAAAAGCGCATTGGTGACTAAGCGAGAGATATCTAAGTATGGCGAGCGCTGCGCGTTGCAGCCTGCATCACTACACACCAACGGAGTCCCGGCATGGGACGGTTTTAACAACGAGGCTAAACCTAAACTGCTGGCTGTTTCTATCATTCCCTTTTTCTTGAACTGAACACGATGCTAGCGAATGCTACAGTCGAAGTGTTCAGACTCGCAAAGTCAAGTGTTATCCAGGCGTCTGTCACGCTGTTGACCTTCCCAGTCCAATTGCTGGGTCGCATACGGAAATTGGGCACAGATGACAGATGGATGCACAGCTCCGAGAGTCTATTCGCCTTCGGAGTTAAGCATGACCTGTCCGATGAATTCCTGTTATCACAGTCTCCTCCCCCACCCGTATCTACCCCTTTACCAGGTCCATGGAGCTTCCTGACGTCTTGGTATGTTTTTGGATTGGTCATTATGGTGTGTTATACCCGCAAGTAATGTGCTCTGTGACTGACTTTGCACTAGGCGGTTCTCTTACATCGTATACGGAACATCGTAGTGCCCAGGGACGAATTCATGACCCGTTTCACTCGCACTACAAGGCTCCGTGCATTCCCATACTCTGCTATCCCATCTATCTTCCCCCTGGATCTATCGTCTTCAGTAACTCGTTTTGTGCTTCGTTCGCCCTCGTTATACTTCGTTTCCAAGATGGTCGTCATATGGCTCATCGTTCTCGCTCAAGCAGCAGACAAGTTTCCAACGTGGAACTTGTCATGGTTGCAGTCAGCGGGGACTTATGTCGCCAAGAGAGAAACCGCGGATCTTTGCTGGTCCACTTTTTGCGCTGTTTGCGCTGTTTTATGCATGGAAGGACTAACACATGGTTTGGAAGGCGGTGCACACCGCCCTTCGCCATTTAATCTGGTGCGGTTCTAGCGTAATGTGCAGGATCACTCACTTACGTGAAGAAAAAAGCTTGGCTATGCTTTTCTTTTGCACACATACTCTTCCCCAGTGACTCACTGGATAACGCTTGAAGGCTCGACTTCACGGCCAGACAAGCACGTTGTATTTACTATTCTGTTACCTTTGCTTCAGGTTCGTTGGCTTATCTCGCCTCATGGGATGATAGTTAACAACCCTTCCTAGCTCACAATCATCCACTTGATTGGGATCAAGCAAGATTGGTCGTCCCATCGCCTCTTTCCATCGGCGGTCGTGTCGCTTCTTGCGCTCATCCACTTCCATTCAGTTCTATGGCTATCGGACTCATCTTATCCTCTGCTCAGCTATGTGCCTTGCCTGTTTGAATCTTCCCTTCTAGCCGTCATATTTCTGGCTCTATTCCTCAATGCCTTTACCCAAATTGCTACGGAGGGTAGAGTCTCTCGTCTCCTATTTGGCCACCAAGCTGCTCTTATTCCGCAATGGGATGAAGACTTCTCGGTCGCATTGTTACGCATGGGTACGGCAAGCCTCGAGGCCTCGAGTGTATTAGGCCTTGGGAATCAAGTGGGCGGCGTTACTGCGGTCACGCCCCTTCCCCTGAACGATGGAACCTTGGAACTGAATCGCTTGGGGGTGGTTTCACTTTCTCCAGCTGTTGAAGGCCCCATCAAACACCGTCGTTTCAAGAAGGGTTTTTCCAATGAAGTCAAGACCATCAAGGTCACAACGACCGGAGGAGATATCTGGTTTGACACGGCTTGGTGCAGGGATCTTGCAAGACTCGGGATGAGTTTGGTGCAATGTGCCAGAGGGCTGATAATGAAATCTTGGAATGCACTCAGACGGAGGTCGCGAAAGCCGCCCAACTTCCCTCCTCGACGTATAGTGGTGAGAAACGAGGCCACCACGAGTGAGCGGAATCAAGATTTAGATGCTGAAGAGGACGAAGAACAAGAAGAATTGTACAAACGGTTCATTAGGGGAGAACCCATGGACGAAGACGATGAAGATTTTGAATATCACCCGTCGGAAATGGAACCGAACGGGTCCACTAGCCCCAGTCCGTCGAGGTCCGAGCATGGCAGCGAGGAGGAGGAGGAAGGAGAAGAGGTTCCAGGGCAAGTAACAGACGAGATTGTCAACTTGTTTTCGGACCTCTCTTCCACTCCCTCAGCCATGACTTCTGCCTCGGTCTTGATGGCACATATGACCCATAATTCGACGTTGCCAATGACAAGACAGCGATTCGAGCACCTGATGTCGGCGCCTTCTCAACGGAGTGACAGTTTCATGAGCGACTGGTCGGACGTTGCTGCAATCCGACGACCATCTTCCAGCGGGACTGGAACACCTGAAGATTCGCAGGACACAATGAGAAACTGTGTGATATGCACAGTCGAGCCACGGCAAATCATATGTTGGCCATGTCGGTGAGTAACCAAGCGCGATTTCTTTGGGAAGTCATGTGAGACTGACTGCTCGGCAGATGTCTCGCTGTGTGTGATGACTGCCGCGAAAATCTTGCGTCACGTTCGTCTGCATCTACTCACACGTGCCCTTGCTGTCGAAGAAAGTGAGTATCTTTACAGGGCAGTAACAAGACTGGAATTGACGTTTCATTCACTGCAGCGTGGATGGGTATTCGAAGATCTACATCCCCTAATGTGAAGTGTTTTATTGGGTGGATTTGAAGAATGTAATATTACGATAGCAGGTGTGGCTATTCCTGACGTGGATCGTAGATAATGGCGCGTTCTGTTAGTTTTGTGGATCTATTCTTGCGAATCTTGACATGATAACGTGTGCGGGGAAGACCCGGCTGACAGTATCAAGGGAAGCAGGAGACTAAGCGCCAAGTTCTAGACTAATCGTTGACTGGATGGGGGAAGCTTAAGGAAGTGTCCAAGGAACGTATCTGGTGCTATCTCACCTCAGTTCGAACAATGATACGCCACTAAACCCGTTGACATAACGTTTGACTAGGTCAGACAAATGATCGGCACCTACTTACCAGTACTAGTTGCCACTGCCACGGAACCGCTCAATCATATGCGCAGGGTATACGGATCGAGCGATTACGCAATGGCCACACTACCCCAACCAGTAAAGACACCATCTATTTGGCAACTACTACTACGCCCGCTTGTCATAGCAAGTTAGCCAGTGCACGTAGCAAAGCATGGGTAGTAATAGCAAAACTACGCAAAAGCCACACCGACTGGTCTTATCAATTATCTTATACGTACACGACACTCCGGCCAGGATCACCCGTTGGAAAGAGCTCGGGTGCCGCCATCGCGTGCGCCATATAGTAAAGCGCACTAAGTAGTAAGCGCTGCCTCAACGGCGTTCAGCCCGCAGCGGTATTCACGCTGTGGCGCCGGCCCACTTACAAAACCCTCCCCACCGAATCGGACGCCCATGGCCGGGCACATCACTGGCCGGATACATTGAATATCTCAAGCCCTTCAACCCCACGTTCAAGCTTTAGGTGAGTATACACGCCGCTGCGTCGAATAACCGAGACTGGAGCAAACGAACGGTCATATGCCTCCCCCAGCGCCAGCCGAAGCGATCTATAATTATTACCTGGCTTATCAGTTAACCGCACCCGGGTATGACGGTACATACGAGATTGCAGGCCAATCGGCCGTTTGGCAAGGATGTTTGATTGGACATGGACATGCGGCTGTGCGGGCGCCTCCGTGTAAACGACACTGAAAAAATGCAGCATCAACGAAACTCATGCCGACCAATATGATATGCTCCCGCAGTATCAGTCGAGGACCGCACACGTTGCTGCGACCACACCATGCAGTCAACCCACCAGAAGCGATGCATTGCATGATCAGACCCCCTCCCATTGATGTCGGACGCCCATAAATGTCAGACAAAACCCGAGCTTCAGGACGTTCAGGTACTACCCACACCCTGAATAACATTTCGATGTTATCATCACTTGGGTCACACCCCCAACCCATCCCAGAAAAAACCAAGCCAAGCCCTGTGATTACTCTTCGGACTCCATTGATTCCGGGAGATTCGCGGTTAGGGTTGTTCCTGAAATACGACAGGCCTAGTGTGACTCGACTCGCGGGCCCAACGTGTGTCCGATCGTCGTGTATCCTTGTATGAGTATGAGTGAATTGCATCGTGTCCGTGATTCTCCTCGTGAGAAAGAACGAGAGACCGATTATATTAGTATTAGCTGTGACCCATGCATGCCATGATAGAATTCGAAGTCGCGACTCTCGTTGAGGACAAGGCCCGTTTCCGTGATACCGTTTATACAGTATAGGCTACCCATCGCTAGATGATGTAAAAGTATGTGCGAGCGCTATAAGTAAAAAAACAAGGCAATGTGCTTGGCGACTACCAATCTTCATTGATGCTGCGTAGGGCTGGACGTTCTCGCACGACTTCCGCGTTTCAATACAATTAAGTTTCATTCATTCACCAACATTGCCCGGTGGTCAAGGAAATTTTTAGAGTGACACGGCCCTCGCCTTCGTCTCGGTTAGATCCAAAGCCCAGACTGTTCGCAGCCGACCAAGCATGCGAGCCAGAAGGCCCATCGGACCCCGGGTGTTGGGCGTTTACCGTCAACGAGTGACGTGCTCTCTCATTGGTATGATTTGCATCATGTGCACGCAATAACACTTAATTGCAACGTGGTAAATTCACGGTGATGTATTGAGTGGAGTCACTGGACGTCAGATCTGATGAACATGTGGTTGGAGTGAGATAAACGATGAGGATCATGGTATTTGCGATAGTATGACGATAAGCTTTTGAGCACGAGGCTGATGTGGGATTAGTCTTGAAAATATAGCGACACCACAATAAGGTTACGAAGAGAATAATAAGATCATCGAACGAATATGACGTTGTTTGAAGGAGGATATCTATGCAGCGACTTGCATCACTGGGTTCTTAAAAGGAAAATGCGAATAACGATTGTGTGGCTTGTTGGAAGCCGGCTGAGAACGTGAACTTGAATGAGGTACGGGAATAGGAAATGAGCGTAGCAAGTCTAGTGTAGATGTAGCTTGATACGACTTCTTCGGGGGTGGTGGGGGAGGGATCACGAGTTCCATAGCATCATGATGCGTGTTCACAACAGGATTGAATGAAGAGTTTGGCACAGCCTCTGGAGTGAGAGGCTGAGGAGAGCTCCCAGATGATGAAGAATGGGGGCTAGAAGGATCCAAATCTGGGCAACGAACGTGGTGCGAACGCTTGTATTGTGAGTGCGCGTGGGATGGAGAGTAGTCTGCGAGTCTGCGGAAGTCGTGGGAAGGAAGAGCGACTGAAGACAAGCCATCGTGGTGGCTGAGAAGGTCATCTTCGGTAATTGACAGATCAAAATCAAGCACGTCGAGAAATTCTCGTTCGATTCGGCCGACATCACGTTTGCCGAAAACCCCGGTGCAAAGAGCCCAGTGAACATTTTTGAGTGTGGAATCGTTTGAAAACTGTTATGGTGGGGTCAGGGGTTGATGACATGGGAGAAAGTACTTGGAGTAAACGTACCTTGCTAGCGATCATTACGGCGCCAAGGAAGACACGCTCGCACGCCCACTCCTCTAGGGCGATTTGCAAGTGAGGTTTGGCGCGATTGATGTATACGAGGGAGACAAGAACTGTAGGAAGTGTGACTTCTGCTCTAGTGAGGACATTTGTGACAAATGTAGCGAATTTGGTGTGCTCTGGGCGGCGAGACACGCTGCGGCCACGATGAGATGATGATGGACGACCCATAGCATAGTTGACGGTGTCTACTACGCAATCAACGACGTATTCTGGAAACATTGTTAGGATGGGTGAGACATTGTAAAATGGAATATGACATACCGATAACAGGTCGTGATAGCTTTATTTCGAGGAGCTCCAAGAGAGCAGGAGAATGTAGAGCAGGGTCTACGAGGCTTGCCTTGTGGATTGGAGAAGAGACCATTGGTGTTGCTGTCTGAAGTATATGGATGATGACAGAGAAAGCCTGAAGCGAGGACGGCTTGGTGGGGTATTCATGTTGGATGAATGGTGTGGTATATAAAGGGACACCGGATGGGAGGAACAGCAAGAGAGCCGGATCGGTTACTTACGAAAAGGGACAAGTTGACATGAGCGATTAGAAAGGAAGGGCCGGAGTATTGCATAATCGGTTTCGGCTTTTCACTGCTGTGGTTGTGACTCGGCGTCGGTGAATGAACACGAATCCATTGCTGCCGTTAAAGGGCTTACAATTACATCCCAATTTGGAATTAATGTTAAATTCGGCAAGACGCGGCACAGCACCGTAACAATCGCAGTGTCATTAGCCGATACGAGCGTGCACCAGCGCTGCCGCCGGTTGGTTTACGTTCCGATGGGGACAATGCGAACAGTGTCAATGAGCTCACAGGTAGTATCGTACTAGTTCGGCTTGAAAGAGGGTACAATATTTACCCGAGTTAAGTATAAGTATACCTGTATGACGCTAATATGGAATCTTCTGTTCAAGTACTTATAATAAGTTGTAATTTCCCGCCACTTCAACAGAGCTTCCGAGCGCAATCTTACCACCAGAATCATCAGTAGGAACGTGTCGGGTACTACGGCCGGTACGGTAGAAGGCTAGTCATGCTGACACGCGTTCCGCGTAGAAGGGAGTCAATTCTTCATCCATCGACGATCTACCACCCTTGGCTGCGATGGTTGCGGGGAAGATGAGTCATGTCTCACTCCACTTACCAATACAAGTTTGTACCCTGTATCAGATCAGAGCTTCTGCCCATCCGAGTCGGATGTACACATCGATTCATAGTTGCCCTGTGACGAGTATCTTCATTACTTACATAGAGAAATAATGTACGATCCCATGTCAATGGGCGTGTGGCGTCCTCCGATATACTAAACCAAGGGGTATTTCAAGCCACTTCCACAGGAACACTTGGCCTGTTCACAATCATACAAGGCCAAGGAACCGTACGTCCATCAAGTGCGGTGTTTGATCACCTCCGTTCATCATCATGCGTATTCAACCCATGTGGTCCTTCCGGTGTCTCACTCGGAATGTATGGTAGTACCCATTCGTAGTCATGGACAGAGTCGATCTTAATGCAGAGCCACATCTCGAACTACCTAGCGTGGTCGTCAGGAGAATCACTCCAGCGCTCACGCCAAGGCACAAAGATAGTCGTTGAAATGAAAAAGGCCTACGACACAGCATCACAGGGGGGAGCAGATCATCATCGATCAGTCACGGAGTTCAATAAAGTCATTTATCATGTATGTGATATAGTACAACTTGTAGTCACAGGAATCCATATGATAGAACCCACATCATCCGTCCCTAGCTGTCCCTGCATCGAGCCCCCAAGTCACTAAAGCCCGCAGTAATCAAGCGAGGAAAACTCAAAACAAGCTCGTAGGTTTGCGGCCCACAAAATGATTTTCTTTCCTTCACGCTTGCCAAGCAATTACATACCAAACTGCGACCATTGTCACCTGTCACTGGTCAATCATGCAGTGCCACCAGCCACTGCACTTCCGCTAGCACTCGTACTTCCACTAGGTGCGTTGCCACCTGCTTTGCCACCACGGTTTTTGCTACCCTTAGGTCGACCTCGTGGACGTTTCGTAGCGCTAGGTTGTTGATCTGGCTGACTGTCGCTTACAGGACGTTTCTCGCCATTTACCCGACGATCACGCAAATACCTATTTAGGAAATAGCTAGTCAGCACACGCTCACGAAGACTACGCAAGGCGGCGGCGGTTTACAATCCCCAGAGAATGCACCCGAGCCCGCCGTGCGACAGGACCAGTACACTCCTGTGGCGGGGCGCCGAACGCCAAAACATGCTGCGGCGCACACACAGAGCCGGGGAGAAGTTCCCTGAAATTACAGCCGGAAGGAACTTGGACTTACTGAGACGTCTTCTCATCAAGCTTAGTTTGGAGTGGGGGAAGCGGGGGCTGGCCGAGCTCGGTCCGCAAGCGATCAACGTCCCCTTTGGCGATAGCATATTCACCTTCTTGGAGGGTTTGGATTTGCTGCCTTAGATCCACACATCTACACAGTGGAGTGGATTAGGACACACTGCGGGGGAATAAGAGACGTGGGAAGAATACGTACTCTCGTGTGATGGATGCTTCGAGGAGATCCACCTTTGGGGAAAGGTGAAAGATAGCATGTGAGCAATATCATCCTTAAATGGTACGTTTAATACCGACGATGCAACGCACCTTGTCACGGTCTGCATTTATCTGTCAGCAAAATAACTGTTATCAATATAATAACATCAGCCGAGTGACGGAATATATACCTCTGCGAGTGCGTTAAGTAATCGTGCACGTTCGCTGTCCAATCTGCCAGAGGGCAATTAGCAAAAACTGTCAGTAGCACGCGAGAAATCAAAAATGGACGAATCAGACACGGTCATGATGGATTGGGAAAGGTAATGTGATAGATTGGTCGAATCATTGAAAAGGTTATTCATACCGATTTTTTTGTTCTTTGATGTCCTGAATTGTCTTATCCTTTTGTTCGAGGGTATTATGGGCAGCAACTATGTTAGCGGTATGCAGTTGCAGTGTCAGGGAATGTTTTCTGCCCACAGCTAGTTCAGTACCGGATGTTGAGGCAATGACGATCCCAATCTAGTTTGATGACGCGCAATACTCACTTGAGTTCAGCAGTCTTGGCAAGCTGGACGAGTTCAGTCGTCCAATTACCGGTCGCCACAAGCGGCTGCGGCTTTGGCGTCACTGGTTGTGGAGCTGTAGTAGTTGCATGTGGTGCTACAGTACTAGGGCCTGCAGCGGGTGCAGACATTATCATTTGGCCATAATCGTTGGATGATGAAGCAGGGAACTGTTGATACATTGCAAATGTCAGAAATCGAGCCAGCTACAGCGAAGGGCCCTGGGGTCTTGGGTAGGTTATGAGAGTGGTTGAGTGCAGAATTTGCTAGGACTCCGTGCACTGCTAGCAGGTGTTTGTCTTTATTAGGAACCAAGGCTGTCGACACGCATTCGGATACTTACTTCATCTTCTTTGAACGTAGATTCGAAGACGATGTACAGATCTGGCCAGAGATTTTCATGTATCATTTGCGGCAGAAGCTTGCAATTGGCGACCCTGCGGCTCTTCAGAACACTGTGTATCCGAGCAAATCAGAACTTCTTTCTAATTGCTGGAACACCAGCAAACTAGTACTGCTGTATTATTATTATTGTTATTATATGGCCTTAGTCCTAACTAGGTAGCTCGGCACCGTGCTAATATAGCATATGTCAGTCTCAACGTTGAGAGTACCACTAGTAGGTTGAATTTGGACTAGAAGTACTCAATAGATGCCCCAGCTGATACTAGTATGTACGTCAGCGCCTGCTTCCTTTCTTCTTCCACACAGTGATATTTCATTTGTTCTCAAAACGAGATAAACTTCATCACGATGAGCGTCCTCAGGCCCTTCAAAGCGAATGATCTGTTCAGATTCAACAACATGCAAGTCTGACATTTTTTGAACTTGCCGTCATGTTCTGAACGAAAATCACAGTAATTCGGACGTCTGGACGGAGACTGCGAGTCTCTCATCCCTTCGACCATGGATCTAGCTCATAGTTTTTAACAGTACGGTATTCCCTTCTACCTAACTTACCTTCAAAGGTGGTCAGACCTCTGTTTCACTCAAGAAAGCCCAAGAGGCCGGTTGCAAGGCTACAGTGCGTCCATCTCCCTCGTGTCCTCAGCCGATACAAATCACACGTCTTGAAAGTTCTTGGCAAGGCTGAAGGTGCACAAACCGAATGGCATGGTCACATTACAGCCGTTTCGGTTGCTCCAGAGTACCGTCGTCTCTCTCTAGCACGAAACATGTGCCAGCGTCTCGAATTCGCCTCAGACGGGATATACAAAGGGTACTTTGTGGATCTTTATGTGCGCTGTAACAATGCACTAGCCATCAAAATGTACGAGGGTATGGGATATAGCGTGTACAGGCGAGTAAGAGAATACTACGGTAATCTTGGGGTAGGGAAGGATGGACGAGACGAGGAGGACGCGTTTGGTGCGTATGCTTGCAATGGTACTTTAGGACCATACTGATATCTGACAGATATGCGAAAATGTTTGTCACGCGACGTGGCACAACGATCTATACGGTCCAATGGTCGAGATATGATAGTCAGCGCTCATGATGTCTCCTAAATCGGTAGACGTATTCTGTGGATGCTCGTTCACAAACTATTGCCTGCATTACAATGTACCAAACATATCATATACTAAGTGGTGGAGGGTCGTCCGGTCCAAGAGCAGCCAGCTCCTCATCATAAAACTGCATCAATGTAGCTTCGTCAGAACAGAACTCCTGCATCTTTATCCGAATCTCTTCCGCCGCAGCTTCAGGTCTCTGCTCCTTACTCTTCATCGCGCTGCCCATGCGACCTGGACCCAACAAACGGTTGGTCAGGAACAGCAGTCCCTGTGAACCGCCTATAACCTGCACAAATGCGACACCAGACCGATGCACAAATTGTGAATGCTTGAAAGGTGCTCGGCGATAAGAGTAGGAGACCTCTACATCCTTCGGGTATAGGTTGGTGGCTTCCACATCGAGGATGAAGTCAAAGCGTTTGAGAATTGCATATTCGAAGTAATGCGTTGTATGCGTTCCTTCAGGTACGCGCTTCTCAAGACCCGGAACAATGGGTGGCGGTATTACCAAACGCAAAGGGAAGCAAGACTGGAACGCGTTGCGTTCCCGTATGTCGCCAATTTCCATGACATAGGCCTCGACCAATTTGAGGCCGTACCTTTCAATCGCCCGACTCCATTGCCGGAGCGAGTCTTCAATGCAACGCGCAGTGGATCCGATCCACTGCAGCTCGAAGTGAAAGACTGTCCCAGGGTTTTGGATAATGTCGTGGTGAAGAACTACTGATTCAGCCTGGTCACTCCTCTGTACAAATGACGTAAGTTCAGGGAAACCGCAAAGTACAACTTTGTGTACCTTGGTGGGATCAACATCAATGATCATAGTTTGACTCAGGATCAGGCACTTCCTGCTGCGCCTAGGCCCCGAGGGTCTACTGAGACTGGACGGGTAATATCCTCCCCCTGGTCTAGTGATGCTGGCCTCATCGCCGTTAATATAACGAGATGTCTTGATCCACCCTCCTCTTGGGGTGCTGACGCTTGCATATTCACCATTTAGTTGATAGAAGTAGTGCCTGTGGCGGAATGACAAATGAGTCCAATTTGTAGTACGAAACATCCGAGGAACTTGCCCATCCAGTAAGCCGTGGCGCCCTCGGCAATGAGAGAACAACCCTTGTTCAAGGAGCCTCGCCCCGCATTCAGCACCCTGCTCCCTTGACGTCACATCTCGGAACTCGCGCACAAGCCACGAAACAAAGTCAAACCCAGTGAAAGAATCAGGATACTTCGCTCCATGCCATTGATGAAACTTGATCGGCACGCCATCCTCTTCACGCATGAGTTTCGCTATCAGCGAAAGAGAGGTGTCTGCGATTTCTCTGGTACTCTGCATTTTCTTCTTCAGAGGTCCTGCAGCATGTATTTCGTCTAGTTGTGCCACAAGCGACTCATCCAGAACACAGTGCACAGGGCCGAGTGTCGTAGGGAGGAAGCGCACGGGTGCAACGGGCGTACCACGCTCATCTGGAGGTTGCCACCGCAATTTTGTGAATATCTCGGCAAGCTTGTCAATTCCCATAAGCTGAATTTCTTCATCATTGAGCTTCTCTCCAGAGGGTCCCACATTACCCTCAGGGACGGCGCACGGTATAACTACGAACCGAGTTCGCCAGTATCGCAAGGATTCATTAAATTGGTGTTCATAGCCAGCAACCAACATATCCAATCTAGGATAAAGAAATCAGTACTGACATCGTGCACAAGCACGAAAGAAAAACAGACCTGTTCCAGCCGAAATTTTCCAGCCCATGTGAGACGAACTTTGTCTTCAACTCGGTATACCCCACCCCGAGCTTAGGCCAGATGAGACACTCGTACTCAAAGGGTTGGGTCGGCGGCATCCTTCTCACATACCGCCTCACCTGGATCGCCTCGCCAGTATAAGATATTCGATGGATCTCATTGCTCATGCTCAAGTAAACAGGCAGATTGGTGGTCTTGAGAACTTCCGCTGCCCCAGCCGGCTTTGGCGATGCATCGTCGTCGCCCATGAAAGATTTCGTCCGCCGCATGGTCGTGTGGTCTTCACTGTCACCCGTTTTACGTGGTCGCAAGACAAACTGGAACCCTTGTGCAAGTCGGACGGCAACCATACCACGCATTACGGCGAGTGCCCACGCACGTCGCACTTCCTCAGTGTTCCCCTGAGCAGGAGGCGGTTTCACGAGGAAGGAACGCATCTCTGTCGGATCGACGACAAAGTCATACGAGAATACATCATATGACAATTCCAGCTCTGAATTGCTGGGAAAGTGGTCCATCGTGAGCGGAAGACACGCTGGAGTGACCATGGACTTCCATTTCACCTCGTGCTTGTACGTGGGCGTAGGAAACACATGCTGTCGGCGTCGGGCAAGTGAAGACTGTGCGTACGAGACTGTAGGTTGAGGCCGCGACGGATTGGTGCGAAGAGTCGGGACTGGGGAAGACGACGAGAAAAGCAGGTTTAGTGCATTTAGTGTCGTATTGCGCCTCTTCCCAAAAGTGCTTTCATCACGGGGAGGGGTGTTCATCGGTGAATGCCGATTCAAGGAGCTTCGATGTGCAAGGGTGCCTTCTTCCTCATACGTCCTGCTCAGAGCCGATCGACCAGATGCACCGTGTAATATGGCCATTGGTTGAGGTGAGCGGGAAAGCGAGGCAGAGGGTGTAGCGGAGAGATTTGACGCGATCGGGATGCGCATGTTTGGAGTGGGGGGAGATATGGAGCCTGTGACTGATGAGGCAGTAATCGAAGGTGTCTGAGAGTCACTCGAGCTTCTTTGGAAGGCATTGTAAAACCAAGACGATGCAATTTTAGCAAGACGTGAAGAGGCCGCGTTGCGGGATTGAGGGTCGCTTCCGTTATTGGTCGTGGTAGATGCGTTGGTTCTCACTGAGCGTATGGACTGCGAAGGAGATGTGTTGATTCCGGTCACGGAGGGTAGCAACCCATCTTCGTTGCCTTCAGGAGGTAGATCCATGATGATTTTTCTGGGACTCTCTTCAATGGGTGCTATACGCGTGGAAGCGATAGAACTGCGTTGCGATGCTAGCCCACGTCTCTCACTCATGATTGATGAACGATAGGACGAGCCCATGACAGTCCCACTCGCAGAAGAGCCATATGAAGTGCGCGTGCTGGCGATGGGTCGGGGCTCTTTCTTCAAGACGAACAGATCCATGTCGGCTTGATCAGCTTCTGCTTGTGTGGGAGCACGGTCATCTTCCGAAAAGCTGTCTCGTGGGGGCGTGGCGTACGGGTCATGTAGCTCTGGGAGGTAAGGAACTTCTATGCCAGAAAGGACATCATGCTCGAGTAGCCCAAGCATCTGGATCTGATGCATTTTTGCTCTGGCAACGAACCTGAGAATGCCGTCAGTCAAGGTGAAGGATCGAGCTCAAACAACAAACCTATCCTCGCGAAAAGGTAGATCCATCTGCTTGTCCCAGAAGGAAATACCTATCCAGAATGGCTCCCACCAGAACGTAATCTTCTCCAATCTCCTGGACTCATCTGGGTCCTCATCACCTCCCCAGAGCGGATCTAGGGCTCGACCTCCGTTCTTCCCATCCTTATCCAAGCGTGGCTCGTATCCCTTGAAAGCGAATATGGGAGTCTGGTGTAAAGGACGTTTTGCTAATGATACGAGATCCAAACCGAAACCCTGGTCAAGCATGCGAGTTGTGGTTAATCGGAGCAATTGCTTGGACACTTTGTAATAGCCTGTACCGGGAGTGATGAGGATGGTTGACGCCCCAGTGTTTGACAGTGAGCGATCGATGTAGTGCGTTTCGTTTGGGTTAAGACCCAAGTTGAGAGCCTCCAAAATAGGTCCGTCATGCGCATCCGATAGATGACCAACAAGTCTGGCTTGCTCTGGTGCTGTAGATTCGACAGAGGCTTGATGGTAGTGATGGGCGAGTAAGATGTCCCTTTGGAAAGCCCAGAAGGACACTTTGAGTCCCACAAGTGTAGGTTTCCAGTCATGGATGACTTCCAAGTCAGTAATGACCTTGTAAAAATCCTTGTACCGTCGACCATCTTCATCCAGTCTTAGAGGCCCTGCGGCATACTCTTTTTCGGAGTCATCGTAATACACCCTCGAGATAAGCACGATGGTCACTGTGTGATTCGTGCCAGCCTCGCGCCACTTGGCAAATAAGGCAGGGAGAAACGAGTGTACGATTTTCTCATTGTAGCGTTCACCATCTCCCGCAAATTCCCAGAGTTCACGGCAGACTTGAATGAAGATTGTCACCTTCGCAGAGAGAGACCGATATATCGCCTTGGTAGTGGCAGTAACGTATCCTGCGGATACCTGCGAATGCGCCTTTTGAGCATAACAGGGAAGCGGGAGGCCATACACCTACTTTTCGACCCTTGACATAGATGGATTGTATCTTGGCGGCGATCACGCTTATGAAGGATATCTCCTGATCGACAAATACACACTGCCCTACAAGGTGCTCTGCCAGTCTCCACATTTCATTTCGACCAAGGTATTGGTCTTGGAATGTGAACTCGATGTAGTCTGCACAATACTGCTGCTTGTCCACCTGCCTCGAATATGAGCATGCCTTTGACCGAAATTGTCGAGAATACAATTACTTTCGTTACGGCCACCTCGCCGTTGTTCTTGATTCCAAACGCGTCTGCAACATTCTTTGGAAGTGAAATCTGAGCCTGTCTGAGTGCGATTTCAGGGTGACCGAGGCAGAACAGGCACCTGTAATGCGGGTTTCGAGCAGCCTTCGTCCTTCGGAACCATGAATAGATACCCAGCAGTAGCATTTACTGTATTGCAACCTGAGACTTGTAGCATGTCTCCCTCTGCCACACCGGGCAACCATGTTTGATTCAATATAGCGGTGGAAGACTCCTTCTGGTCGTGTACCCATGAATTGAGAACTTTGACATCTCCGAGTTTCAGAGGTTGTGGCGGCGGTCCAGGGGGATTGCGAAAGATTGATTGTGCAGTATTAGACCTTCTCCGACCAAATTGTTGTGCATGACTGTCTGGTCGGACTGTGCTCATGGTATTCGGTTATAACATTACTTATACGTAACAGAAACACCCTGGCAAAAGGTGCAGCCAAAAGCGGTTATGCGCTTAGCTTAGCTTAGCTCTAAGTCACAAAGTAAATTCGACTTTAGTGCTGTTTAGCCTGTCACTAAGAGATACATGGAGCTATACCAAAGTCGTACTCATAATAAATCATTTTCGCTTCTCAGGTTTGCTCTGATCCACCATCTGAAGCTGCCTTCCAACTGGGCTGCAGACCGCGGTGTAGTCGTTTCGGATACAAATTTCTCAGAGACTCGTCACATTCTTTGAACACCCTACATTCTTTTCTTCCGAGTCAGTCCGACTCGTCAAGGGCATACCATGTCCGTCACCACCCGCCTCGATAATGACCATGAAGTGGTGATCAAGCTCTCATCCGAGCACACCCCGTCCCCTAACTCATCATTAATCTTTCCTACCATCACAAACTTTAGCTCATCAAACTCCTCTCCTTCATCCACATGCTTTTCGCTGGGGCACATGCCAACTGTCAGATTCGCACCGCTTCCCTCACCAGACCCTAACCGGAAGCGTTCGAACTTGCCGCTCGGGATGGCGGCCCGTTCGCGGAGAAGACGTCCCACGCGTGAAGGGCGTCAGCAAGGACGGCCGCTGTGGACCTATGACCCTGCTGCAGAAGACCCACTGATCAAGGATCCGCTTGTCACGTTGGGGAAGTTTGTGAAAAGCGCGAGTAGAAACCTATGGCGACGCGTGAGAGAGAGGAATGGGCTTGTAGATCAGGCGGAGCCTATCCAACATGATGCCGTTCTTGATATCAAACCAAGGAATGGTCACGAGCAGCTGGTGGAAGTGGTGCCAGCACATAGACAAGCAGTTATCTCAGAGGTGGGAACGCGTTTTGAGCGCCCTGCGCTTGATGACAACAACTTGAAGTGGCGGCGGAGAAGGACTACGGGCAGTACTATGCCTTCTGCTCCAGGCTTACATTAATTCTTTCAAGACTTTTTATGATAGTTTGATCTTTCATGCAGATAATTCATGCCGCTGGCAGAAGCTTTACTGAAGCTTGTCTGCAAAAGTTCCAGGCTCTCAGTGTTGTGCTACTTTTTCACCAGTAATAGTAATAGTTGCTATTGTTGTTACATCTGCACACACCTCGTCGACGGGGCTTCAGTTTGTCCGTCGTGTGCACTGCAACGTTGCTATGATAGAGTGCAGATATGATGATATTACGGCTAACCGACTGTGCCGAAAATGAAAAGGTAAGCGAAGCAGTGCCTTCGTGCCTTCGAATTGCACAAGTAAGCTTTGCTCAACTTTCAACCTTTGTTTCTTGACTTCATTCTCCCCAGTTCCCTTTTCTCGATTGCTTGCCTTTTCTTGCTCCGGGCTTTCTGGACCCGTGTTTTTTTTAATTACTTTTTGCATGAACCCTTAGTGCTAGACTTGTTTGATTCTCTTGCCCAACCTTCCAAGGACCATGTCTTGCACCCCGTCTGCCACTGCAACGGAGTACACCACTATCACCACATTTACGACGTCCACGTCCCTCTCACAGAGTGTAGCGAACAATCAGGGCGCAGTCACCACCGTTGTGCAGCAGACCTGTATCGCCACTGGCACCTTGAGTGGATCAAATAGTACAGGTTGCATCTCGAGCACAGCGGTCACTCAGGTGAACACCATTGCAGGTGCGTAGTTCATTATCGTACTCATTTCCCTTCTGCTGTCGCACCACGGTGTTGTGTGACCGCGTTGACGGCACCGATGCTTCCACTTGTCGCGGTTATTTTGGTCATCCTTCGCTTCTGAATGGGGTGCTGATGGTTGCGTTCTTTCCAGGCGGGGTTGTCACCACACAAGTACCCGTAATTGTGACGGTTCCAGTCACCCAGACTCAACCAACGAACACTCTCTTCGCCTCTTGCTCTGATGGTTCCACCCCGTCGCAGACAACATCGCATTCCACGGCTAGTCAAACAAGTTCTAGTTCAACTCCTAGCCCAGTCACAACGTCCGTGCTAGTAGAGACTACACCTGCGCCGTCCATTATCACCCAATCGTCTTCTACAACCCTTTCGAACGGCGATGTGGTTGCGACTGTATTCACTACAACATCTACACTCCCAGCATCTTCTGTTTACGTACCATCTGTGATTGTAAACCCAACTGTCACAAGTACTGCAAGTGCGAGTGGATCAGGCACAGATGTAGCCCCCATAGTCGGGGGTGTGCTCGGAGGTTTTGTTGGATTGATCGCGATCGTGGGTGCTTTGTGGTACCTCTGGTAAATTCCGTCACCCTAGCATTCATTTGTTTCCCCGATTTACTTTTCCTTTCTTCCTTTTTTGCAGCCGCAGACGCAGATCTTGGGATGATATCTTTGATAGAGAAGCCATTGAAGATGAAGAATTTGATTCCCCAGTTGCTGTGCGCCGAGACCGTGACAGGAGCATGCTTGATCTCGGTGCTGAGCCTAAACCATATCAGTATGGCCTCGTCGGACATGTAACGCCACCACCAGGGTCAAGTTCCCCGCCAAGCATTCACCAATCTCATCATCCTTCATTCAGTGCTTCCGTCGCAAGTAATCACAGCCGCAATACGTCAGTCACACCTTTGCTTGGCATGAGTTCTGCGCCCGGGAATGCTTCGAAGGCTTCCATTTCAGGGTCCATGCAGACAGCACAAACTGCTGTTGCGCAGAGGCATCTCAGTGCAACATCCCAATCGACATCCCAGTCCTCCATGGGCCCTCGATCGCTGTCTGTGATTTCCACCACCAGCGCGACGCCTTTGTTAGATGGATCCGGACCTTCCTTGCTTTCGTCGAGCAACCGCGTTGATGAGCTTGGCGTATTTGATCCGCTTAATCGCACAGGAAGTCCTACCCCTGTGATTGACAGGCGGGTCTTGCAAATCATCAATGATGGCCCTCAGTCGCCCAAATCCCCTGTTATTGTATCTGCACCTGCACCTGCACCCGCACCCGCACCCGTGCCTTCTTCATCTGTGCCTGCTCGGCCGCCCGGTAAACGTGCCCCAAGGCGAAGGAGATCTAACAGTGTTGTTGTGCACACAGATGCCGGGCTGGTTTCTCCCACTTCGGGTACTGCAGCAAACGAACCCCCACCCTACTCGAGAGAATAGTTCATCCCTCCCGCCGAAAACAGTCCATTGAGCACTGATATCACATTTACTAACCCTACCCCATATTTGGACTTGCGATGACCGTACTATAACTACCCACGCGCTTTTACGTTCCTCCATACCTATATACAGTTGTTTGAACGTAGCCTATGGACAATACACTCTAATCGTCTCTGAAGAAATCCTCACCGTGGTGTCTTATTCTGCCCATGGAGTGGCTAGATACAAATTGTATGCCAGCGCTGTTTCATTGTCTTGATATAAGTATATCCACAGATCCTGGATACAAATACCCTTAAAGTTATGACTTAGTGAGCTGTCGGTACATAGTACTACTGTAAATTATGATTTGAGAAGTGCGGCGGTTTCTGAGACCGTATGTAATTGGGAGATTGGGTATAACATCATGTGTTGTACTATGTCCACTGGGCAACCCAAGGCTAACAACGACAAGCATCGAACGCTGTGGACCAACAATAAACCCGGACGAGCCAGCAAAGTGTTGTGGTACTTTTTAACTCCGCGATTGAGATATTTTAATTTTGATTCCGGGCACCAATTACGTAAACTTCGGATGAAGCATTGTCCTCGCTCTTTTTGTTCAATGAATCGTGTGTGGACTTTCTGAAGAACAATAAGGTTGGGAGGTCAATGGACCATCCACATCAGTCCAAACTACATAAACCGTTGTTCTCAGCTGGTCAAAATGTATTCCATCCCCCGCCTCGTTTCCTTAACCGTCCTCGTTGCTTTCTACCGGTGCTGGGCCACCCGATTATTCATTCACCAAAGACACCCCTGCAATTGCTGTTGTTTGTCAATCAAGTCTGTGATCTTAAGCATCCCCTAGACATTATCATTCTTTTCTATCGTTCATAATGGCCGGCGTACGAGCATGTGAGCACAGCTTATTTTTTTTTGCTTAGCCAGCTTAGCTGACTTGGCTTCAGATATCTTCTTTGGACTCAATATTGTCCGCTTCCTGAGCATCGTCTCTCTCATACTGGTCTTTGCCAGCAGCATCTTTGTCATAGTCACAGACGTCGAAGCTGTTAACGCGTTTGAAGCTGCAAGACAAAGCGGCAACGTCACAGCGCAAGACTTTGCTGACTGCGAATACATTGAGTAAGTTTGAATGTCCTAGGTACAAGTATTATTGTGTACTGACGTCGTAAATAGGAACAGCACCGTACCCAACCAGATTGGCGGCGTTTTCTGGGCTATCATCAACCGCCTGCTTATTATCTTCCAAGTTGTCATTCTTTTCCTTTCCGAGATTGGCTGGCCATCCCCTTTCTTTGATCGCTTTTTCCCTGTGCTTGGTTCTGGATTTGGACTCGGTGCTCTTGGTATCTTCCAAGGACTGTGAGTTATTTTCCTTACGCGGTTTCTTACACAGCGCTGACTTTTTTTAGTATCGGAGCTGCAGTCCTTTCGCAGCACGTGGATGACTTCACCCTCGTCTCCGCTTTCTTCCTTTTTGTCCTCGGCTGCATAAACATGTTCCTTGGTCTCCTCTTTCGTGAATCGGCCAAGAGCAGACGTTCAATTACGTTGTGGCGTGAGGGTGCCAAGGATGTACTGCCAACGAACAACCCGCGTCCTCCTACCAATCTTAGCCGTTCTAGCTCCGGGCAGACATACACTTCTTCGACAGTATATGATGAGAAGACTAGAGATGTTACGGAGTTCGGCGCAATGCGGAATGGTAGCCGAGCTGGTTACGGCTTTGGGCGACAAGGTGAGAAGGCTGCAGGCCTGAAAGGTCAGTTTTCATTGTTCTTTTTTTCGTATCATATTCTCATCATGATTCTTAGGCTTCTTGATCTCCAAGCCTCTTGAGAGTCGCCCCCGTTATGCAGCTCGTCCCACTAGCGCTCCCTCCCGGTCCTCTCGTTCTTCCTCACCTGAACCTGAATCTGAACCTCATTTCGCCTCCAGCGGTTCCGCGATTTGATGAAAGCACCGACGCTTCCTATTACTAAGAATTGTCACGACGCCATGCGCATGTCATTAGCATGACTGTACTTATATGGTCTACTCATGTGTGTACAACCACGGACAACCCCAGCGGGAACGCTGGTCTCACGTTGATATATCTATTGTATGGTGTTGTGCAGTACACTATTTTGCGCAGTACTGGACAGTTGTAGTTCCATTAGCATTACATATTGCAATTAATACTGTTTGAATGTAAGCTGACTCGCTCGATTTCTGATTTCTGTGAAGATGTTATCGTCGAGACACCAGTTGATATCACCGACTGCCACACTACATAAACACACCTGTACTAATACTTGAAGCTTGAAGACTGAAACCCAACTGATAAGTAGGCTCTCACTTCAAGCGCTAGGACCAGTGACCGTCAATGATGAATCAAATTCTCTGAGGTTGGCTTCTAGATGCGTGACACCAATTTTCAAGGTAATTCAGATTCAAAATGATGCTATGTCGCAGATCTGCTCATCACATACCGTGGTCTAGTGTCACCTGTGATAAGCCAACGGGTCGAGTGTGAAAATGCTAACCTCGTCCGATCAATCGTGCTTTTCTACACTTGCGGTGTCGAAGTGCAGCCAGGGCATCTGTCACTTCCTCGTGATGGTGTAATCAGTACTTCCTGATCGTGTTGGACCATGGACATGATCTGCTCGGAGATAACTGGGTCTGTGGTACGTGCCACTGATGAAGACGGTTCGAATTCTGGAGAAGCGTGGACGCTGTCTTGCAAAATGTCGGAATTCTTTCTGTTTTTTCGGGTGCAAATACATCGACGCAAGCGCGAGGTGTAAAAAGACAGCGCTGTGCAACGATGGACACAACTTGAACAAGATGGGCATATTTCTGACGAGGAAGAGATTCATTTATTTGATGAGGAGATATACATGCCGATGAGGTGGACATCCATATGCCTGACAAGGAGGGGTCCCCAATCGTTTACGAGGGCATAACTCCCGTGACGGCGTATAAACACTGCCAGCGCAGAACCAACGCAGACTGTTTCGAAGAGGGCGAGTTCTGTTGCGGGAAATGTACCGGTATTGCTAGGGCAATGGCAAGTGTTCTGAAATAATTGTATTTTTAGAGGATGAATGACTTTTATGGATAATTCAGAATGGATTGCAAGGCACCTCTGTATCCGATTTGCAAGGGAATGAAGAAATATCATGAAGTTTTCGTAGATTCATTTTCGTCCATCGAATGTTGGTTAACATTGATGTATCGAAATAAGGTAGGCATCCTGATGGATGCAATACAACGACGTGGTGAGGATAGCGATGTATCTGTCGACTTAGAATCGACCAGGGGCAATGGGTTTTGACGAGCTGGTTGTCGCCAAAAATTTGCGAAAACGTTCCCAACACATGCGAACGAACTCAAACGAATACGGCAAGTCCAGTATATTGCCGAACAGGGATGTATCCCAAACTCAGGTATTTGAGGTGACTCCTGTGTCATGCAGCGCAGCAGATGTGAGATAGATGTTGACTTCCTGCAAATGCCCCCGACCCACGAACGTGCTATGCAAGGGAGCTGGGTGAAAATATGACGAGCGAGAACTTCGGCGTCCGCTACGAGAATCCGAGAGGTGTGTCAAAATTTTTGTAAAAAGGTATGTTGTGTTGGCTCAACAGCAGGATCAATATCGAGATTCACGGTATCAATTAACACTCGCAGTCAAACCAAGTGTAGTCATTGACAAAGGGCTGTGAATCATCCGCGGACTGTGACGGAAGGTGGATGGCGACCCAAGGTATCTATTTCCAGATAACGAAAACACAGCAGGTTGTCTCGATAGGGATGACTGAGAATGTGAAAAAGGCGGTCAGATGGTATAATCGATGAGGGAACACCGTAACAAGCGGAGCGAATGCAAAAATCGACATGCATCATTGGCAGATAACAGTTCGACGCCTTTGCCCGACAGTTCCACTATTTAAATGTTTGCTTAGCCAGGCCCAGGTTGCCATTGAACGTAAAAAAAAATGAACAGCACAAAACTGACCCTGACAGTGCGATACCGATACGATATACCAGTGGACCTCATTATACAGCATAGCATTTGTTCTGATGAATTTATTTCAGTTCACAGCACATCCACCATGGGCTTGTGGAAGATTTTGCAGGCCGTTACAAGCGCTGCAAAGAATTTAAGTCCAAATCGAATTCAGAATCCTACTTTGAACTCCCCTAATATCTCAATCGCAATGATGAGATCGTTAACAGTTCTAAACTTCTTCCGTGTCGATAGGACAGCTAGAGCGTCGACGCACCTGCACATATCGAAATAAGGCAAAATACTCGTTTTACACGTGACAGCTTCAGGAAACCTGCAGCCGACCAGTAGGAGTTTTTGATAGACGAATGTTAACAAAACCTTTTGTCAGTTTCGCAGTGTACTCTTGCTTTCGAATTTTACCTGTTCAAGCTTTCGCATTCCTTCCCGAATCCCGAACGCAAACTTTTCTTTTGCGGAAAAGTCCCGGGCATGTACGAACGAACACAAACGAATGAAGCAGATGTTCCCTGAACGTGAACATATCCCGGACTCAGGCATTCGAGGTGATTTCTATGACGTGCCGAACAGCAGCTTTCAAAGATATGTATGAGATGGGTGTCGATTTCATCCCAGGGCTTCCAATGGACATGCTAACTTGGTCAATGAAGAACCAGGTGAAATGATTCAAGCAAGAGCTTGAGCATCCGCTATGGGACTCCGAGAGGTAGCATCTAAATCCAGTATTTGCAGGGAAGTATGTTGTTTTGAACGAAATCATCTCTATATATCGATGAATGCATAGATTGTTACGTCACGGTTATACAACACTTTCCAAACATTACATTTTTTTTGGCTAAATTCGGATTTCCCTCAGACAACTTGGAACAACATCGTACGATGTCGAACTTCTGAAGGTAAAGCTGCGCATGCATGCGCCCCACACACTGGTAACTCTGGATCCACATGCACACATAGCTAGTGGTCTCGACACAGGAATACCCGAAGTATCCGGACCAGTACAATTGCACAATGAGCCCACAGGAGCCCACTGGTTCCTAGAACGCGGTTTCGTCGTTTCCTAAACTATCTGGACCGCACAGCATGAGGACACGTAAATTCCAAGATAAAAACCTGACAAGTAGGTTCTCACAGCGAGTACGAGGGCACACAACAATCAGCGATGGATCAAAGTCTTTCTGAGGTAGCTCTCCAGGTGCGTAAAACTCAGCATTCAGGCACTTCACATCCAAATGAAGCTGTTTTGTAGAACTATTACCAGCTTCTCGCCGATAATAGCTTGATATCCCAGTCACAAGCAAGCCAACCACCTCAAATACCCACTTCACCATCCATGCCCGACTATCCTCGCTGTCCCATCTGTTCGCATCGTCTGATCACATGTCATGGTTGTTCGAATGTCACCTGCGACAACAGTCACTGTAAAGGTGCTGACCTCGTTAGTTTTGTGTCTTCGTGTCAATCGTGCTTTTCGACCCTTGCAATGTCGAAGATGTGCAGCCAGCTCGACTGCTTCTCTCGCGCACATTTTACTGGTGGTGTAATCTGTCCTGATTGCGTCAGCCCCACGGACGGTCACATACTTTGTCTCTGCGAAGACAGCTGGATTTGTGGCCCGTGTGCCACTCAGAATAAATCTCTCGACAGTTGTGGACGGTGTCCAAAATGTCAGAACTATTTTTGTTTTCTTAGGTGCAGATATATCGGCGCGTGCGCGGACTGCCGCAAGGTGACGCTATGCAACGATTGCATGGAAGAAGGATTATCTGATCGGGAGGGGTCTTCACGCGCAAACAATAGCACATTCCTTGTGGCGACGTGCGAGCAATGTCAGTCCAGAATCTGTATAGACTGCTTTGATGAGCGCGAATCCCGTTGTGAATCTTGCAACAGTGTTTATTGCAAGGATTGCACAGACTATGATGAGTGTCCGGGATGTGGGGAGTTTATGCGCGCATGACTTGCTCCACAGAATACTCGTATGTGTTCATGAGTGCGAGGTATGTCGATCTTTGAACAACAATTTTTGGTTGGCATTGACATATCGAAATAAGAAATACTTCTAGTTTTTCACGTGGCAGTTCAGGAAACCCACAGCCGAGCGAACTCGGTGGACTTGGAATCGACTAGTAGGAGTTTTTGATAGACGGGTGTTGACAAAGACTTTTGTCAGTTTCGCGGCGTACGTTGGCTTTCAAAAGTAGTTTTACCTTTCGCGTTCCTTCCCTTTGGGGGTCACTACTGGACAAAAAAAAAATTACGACTTGAGTTGACTTGAATTTTCCTAAGATATAACAGCTCATAATGAATCACGGTGAATCATGGTGTATGATGACCTACGCATGGTCAAAAACTTACGAAGGAAAACAAATGCAGGAACCTTAGTGCAAAATCGTAGCCGTGTCCAAAGACAAGTTAAACGTGTTGTTACGTAACTTGATCTTAGTTTCACCTTCGCAAGGCACCACTGATTCACGTGGGCTCTTCTCCCATCTCTGTCTTTGACTACGCATTCGGCTCTGAACATAACCGTGTTACTAGTACTACTGGTATGGATGCTGCTCACCCGCAAATACATGCAATACCAATTCAAACTATTTGGGCAGCTTACACTGAAATTGGACGACGGGTCAATACTGCTTCGCACACAAGTGGGAGATGCTGCTCGCTTGGGAGCACAGCGAAATGAATGTTTGAGGTTGCTGACACTTGTAGGACAGGTGAGTCACTACATTTCATACCTATGCATCCTCTGACATAGTATTTGTAGCACATGGGTCTCTTCTCTGCTGAGGAGGGTACCACTATCGAGACTAGTATTCATAGCATGATCAGTCACCTTGACGAGGCTGCCCAACACTCATCCGATCCTGCCAATGCACCTCCTTTGACCATTACTCACAGGGTGCCCACAGGAGGTCGAGGGCGACCAAGATATGAACTTGATTCCGTGGTTTTACAGGCTGCGCTACAACTTTGAGGGCCAACGGACCTAGCATCGGTATTTGGTGTCGCACCTCGTACAATCCGGCGGCGTGCCCTTGAACATGGTTTTGTTCAGCCAGGGCCACCTGTGTATGTTGAATATGTAGCTGATGATGGGTCAATTACTCGTATCTATACGTCATCAACAGCTCCTACATCCGATCTTTCTGATGAAGAATTGGATGAAATCACAGAGCAGGTACTCGAGCTTTTTCCAAATTTTGGGAGACGGATGCTCAATGGGCATTTTCGCTTTCTTGGCCATCATGTGCCTCGAAGCCGCATTTTAGAGTCATATGCGCGTGTTCATGGGGCACCTACCACAATGTTTGGGGCGCGGAGGATCCGAAGGCAAGTCTACTCAGTTCCAGCGCCGAACTCGCTCTATCATCATGATGGTCAACATGGTTTGTGTATATACTTTCATGTAAAACCACAGTATTTCCTCAAGCATCACATAGCTCTGATTCATTATAGACTTGTAATTCATGCATTCATAGATGGCTTCTCGCGATTTGTCACTGGCATATGTATTAGCGACAATAACCGTGCTGAAACTGTTCTCAGCCTATTTCTGGACATTGTAGATGAACATGGTGTACCCAGTCGTGTATGAGGCGACCATGGAACTGAGAATTTGCAGGTCGCAGAGTGGATGGAAAATCGTAGGGGTGTTGAACGAGGTTCATACATATGGGGGCGGTAAATATGCATTAGAAATGCACATGAGCATGTTGCACTGATGTTCAAATTTCAGCAGTGTACACAACATTCGCATCAAACGTCTCTGGCGCAATGTGACTCAGGGCTTTGGGAGGAAGTGGAAGTTGTTCTTCCAGCTCCTGGAGGTTCATCACGACCTGAAACCGAACCTGGATGCTCACATCTGGCTACTGCATCATGTATTTCTTGATGCACTGAATGAAGATGCCATTCAGTGGGCAGAAGCCTGGAATCATCATCGATTATGCATTCCAGGTGGAGGGCAGCGGAGCCCTCGGTGGGAGTATTGACATCGAGATATGAGGTCCTGTTTGACAATGCAAAATCAAAAATCAAAAATCAACGTCAAGATTGAATTTGGAAGGTCAAACTAGAATTAGACTCCGACTTCTTCTTTGATCGTCTCTAATGGTGATTCACGATGATTCACTACTACTAAGTCCTTGGTCAGAAACAAAAGCACAAAACCAAGAGCGTGATTTTTGTCCAATACGGTCCCCCATACTTCCTGAACGCAAACTTTCCTATCTTGGACTGAACACAGACTTGTAAAGTCAGCGCCGCCGTGTCACGTGTCAACACACGTTTGACATAAACTCATGCTCACTTCCAGTCGCGGCAGACTAGCCCAATGTGCTGAGAGCTTCGTGCATCTTTACAAATTGGAATCTAAAGACAAAACCTTGACGCCAAAGGCCCAGAAAAAATATAGGGAGGCACGTAGGAATCAAATCACGGAGCCAAGACAGATCTTCCAGTACTTCCTGCATGGCGTCCGGGCTGGTGATGCAACTGCTACTGTTATAATGTTTGGCAATCCCTCGGTAGTCGAGACACACATTCAACACTATTATCGTGACTCAAAGTCGCCGCTGTGGGATGAAAGCATACTCGCGCAGATCACGACGACTCCCATTCCTGGGTATGCAACATCGGCCGCTGGGGTAAGCGACTCATATTTCCAATCTTCCTTTGCTCATCTGAGCTTCCTAGGTCCTATGCGCCATAGACCGCAAGGTCGAAGGGCGGATGTCGGGGACAGGGAACCAAACTGCAAAGCGTTTCAATGCAAACCCCTACTTTGGTAACCAACGCGAGTTTCAACAAAAAATGACACTCGCTTCCCAGCATGACCTCCACAAGGAGCCATTCAAAAAACTTTTACTTGATATCCACCTTCAAGGACTGTAAGTGCGCGCCTCGTCCGACATAGGCATTGTACTAATATACCTTGTAGGCAGGAGATGAGGCGTGTGCAGAGCAAGGGCACCTCGCCGCCTCCATTCAAACCTCTGTACATTCCGCAGACATCAGCGGAAATGACGATTCCGCTGGAATTACTGGAGCGTGAGACCCCACCCCCCACCCAGCCCAAGATCTCGCAAGGTACTACCTTGACTTATTCGGAGCAGCCTTCCCTTGAGGTGCAACAGCCTTCCCTCGAGTTGCAACAGCCTTCCCTCGAGTTGCAACAGCCTTCCTATCATCCGCAGTCGCTGCACCAGCATCCGCAGTTGCTGCACCAGCAGATGAACGACTTGTCACCATTTGCCTACTACCCACAGCAGGGTCATAGCGGTGAGGGATCGTCGTCGTCGTCGTCTTACAGCTACCCACAGAATGCCGGCGATGGTGCATACTTTCCCCACCAGAATAGTATGGCGCGCCCAACCATGGCTCCAGGTACCTTCGACTTGAGCTTGTACGCTGCGTCCCCAGAGGTAGTGCGTCGGGACGCAGAGTCAGGAAAATATTACAACCTGTGAAGTAGAGCATGCTGTACGTGTTGGGTGGAGGAAGTACGGAGTCGCTTTGTATAAGACTATGGTACATGTCATAAATCCACAATATGCGACGAGACGGGTGCGAGCAAATCGGACAGCGAGGATAGCTTGCCGCGAATGGCAGAGTGGGGACTTCAACTACTTCATTGGCTTATGACTGGGATATTTAACAGCCATCGACGAGTAGCTGGTAATAGTTCTGCGAAACCAGCGTAAATTTGAATATAAAGTGCCTAAATTAAGTTCGTACGTACCTGGACACCGACCTTGGAGACTTTGATTCATCGTTGACCATCGGTTGCCCTAACGCTCGCAACCAGGGCGTACTGTCATATTTCCCTCGTCGAGTACACTAGCAATATTTGTAAACAACAGGGAAAAATTAAACATAAAAGCCATACCTAAGTTACGCGAGCATTCAATAACTGATCTAGCGCGCACAGCAGCCTCTTGGTATCTGTCAATCGAGCGAGAAGGCGATGGGTTATGGTCCTGGATTGGATTCGAGGCATCCCGGTGTCGTTCCTCGTCAGTAGCGTAGAAGTGAGAGATGGAGTCTCCAAGCACTGGAACAAATTGTAACTTTTAGTCAATATGATCATCACCTATGTGGGAGAGAGAACCGACCAGAGGATGACGCAGAAGTGCCTGCTGACGTACGGGCAGAGCTCATGGATCTCCAGCCGGCATCTGAATGGGTAGTACGTCTTGCGGCCTGCGGCCTAGTATCCAGATCTGAATTTGGTGGCTCGAATCTATTGTCAAGGAGTCCTGGACGCATAGTTACGTCAGGCAATGACGCAACTAGCGGTGAAGAACGGGAGGGAGTAATAGTAGCCCATGTCAAATTGGATGAGCCAGAACTTGGTACACGATGAACACCTTGCCTGCCGACTGCATCGGGCAATGACGCAACGGGCGGTGAAGGACGGGAAGAGGCAAGAGCAGCCCATGACAAATTTGATGGCCCAGAGCTTGACCCACGGTGGACACCTTGCCTGCCGACGGGTCCATTCAAGGTATCAGTATTGTTTCTTTCAGTTTGCACGACTGACGATACGGAGGTAAGTGATCCGTTGGGAAACTCGTCGGATTCTCGGATAGATGCGTTCGTTCTCGTTGATGAAGAGATTGATGGAGATGGGCGGTGTGAAGGATGAGGGGTGTTGGAAGAACGCGTAGAATTGGAGGTGTTACTTGATGAGGTAGTATAGCCGGGACGTGATGATGAGCCTGTCAGCGAGTAGTATGAAATCAGTGCTCATGTGTATGTACGCGTGCTGCAACTGGCGATATCGACTGACTGGGACCGTCTTCTTGTCATGGCAATGTTGAATAAAAATATCTTGGAGAAGAAATTGAGCGCATGTCAACTTGCAATGAGAGTACACTAATTACTTATCACCCGTTCGTCTTGAAGTACACGTGTCCCCATGTTGTGTGGCAGTCGGTAATACCGATCAACCGGCGACCGTGTCTTGGTATCATGGCAGTTGAAAGAAAGGTGAAAACTTGAGTAGGTGTCGAAAGGAAGTAGCACGGACGCATGTGAGAGTGTATTAATGAAGATTTGAACTGCACTGCGAGGGCCTAGTCACATAGGTGGGGCCGAGGAGATCCTCAGTTTGAAGCCAGAAGGCTGCTTTACCCCACCATCGTGATATTCAGGGGAGCGAGGAGATCCTCGACTCTAGGCCAGAAGGCTGTTGCCCCGACATACTAGATACATGTTCAATAGTAAGAAGTTCGAACAAAGTCCGAATGCGTTATATATATTTGTGTTTGTTTGCCTGCTTACATTGTGTCACGTGTTTCGCGTTACATGGTTAACTTTTTTCCTCAGAGTCCTCACCGGCACCACTTATAGTATGGCCCGTACAAAACAAACAGCCGGTAACAGTACCGGAGGGCCTGCTAGACGTGGTCACCTACCTATATTCAAGAAGGTCACTGGCCATGCCGGAAAACAACTTATCAAAACTGTCCAGGCAACGCCACCACGCGTGAAGATAATGCCAAAGCCCAACTCCCACAACATCGTAAGTCTCACAACTCCTCGCTCTGTCACCGTGACTAACTTAAGGACTTATTATCAGTTCTGTTTCTTTTGCTGCGACGGTGGCTCCCTATATGACTGCACCGTATGCCCACGCTCAGTTTGCGATCGCTGCATCGTTATTCCGCCAGAGTTTCAGGAGCTTATTATGGACCCCGGCGTTTATTTTATTTGTCCAGGGTGCCATGAAATGCGTACAAAGGGAGATGCCATGAAGCCATATTTTGTAAGTTTGTCTCTTTCTCCAAGGTCTCGACTTGATCTTGTTAATATATATACTAGGCGTTCGAGAATGCTTCAGGTCAAGGGGTCCTACCCACCCCTGTCACCATCCACGGGCACATCGAGGTCACCAGTCGCTCACAAATATGCAGTAGCCCGGTACTCATCCTTCACTTCGTTATCAAAGGTCTCGACCCTTCCGGATCGCCTGCAACCAGCATGCAACAGCAATTAAGGCCGTTCAAGCCACAGAATAACATGCAATATCATGAAATCATTTTCGATATCGGAACGGGTAAGAAGGCCGAGAAACACCTTACAACGATGAAGCAACTCGTGACCCGAATCAAACTCCTTCAGTGTGAGCGTGTCGAGGTCTTCGTCTTCTCGCACTCGTCTACCACGGAGGGCTCACGAGGTGATATCTGGGGGGGATATGCAGACGACGAGTCTAGTGGAAGGGGAAGAAATAAAGTGGTAATAGAGGGCGGCCCTGTCGCTTATACAGTGAACGATGTAAGATAACATGTTCTCTTCGTTACAACGTGTCACTGTTGCCAGTTTTTTGCAGGTCTGTTTGTCGGCGGCATCGAGGATTACGTCAAAGGGTCTACCTTGTGGATGTTCGTCTGCGGTCATATGGTACAAGAACCAGACGCGTTCGGGGCATTCAAGGCCTGTGTCAAAGAGTGCGTAGTTTCCACATTCTCAACATTACCCTTGTCGCTGAAGGATTTGATAGGTATGAAGTCGAGCATGCATTCGCATTTGGTGCCGAGCGATTTCACGCATGCCTGGTCGTACCATTTATCAGCACTTACGTCGGCCGTGTACTTGTTGAAGGGTTCGAGGTGCAGGATGTCATTCGAGACATCCTCCTGGCATCCCCTCGGCTTGGAATGCATTCGTCCGTTGTCCATTTATACAGGCCAAATGCCTTCCGTCGCCGCCCAACCACCATATCAGAGTACACCCAAGGACTAATGTGCGATCCGACTGGTCCGACCTCCATGATTGTGTCCACATACACATTCTTCCACGAGAATCTTCGCCCGTTCGGTAACGTACTGCCCTACCAATGCTCGAAATGTATGTGTGTTCGTCCATGGGAGCGCGTGGCTTCTAAGAAATCCGGGCGGGATGAAAGCACCTTCCGTTGCAAGGGGACTGATTGCGATCACACCCTTACGTTCGCGAAGTCCAAGGAGTCCCAAGTCATGAACAAGGGCAGCCGCGCGTCTTCTGGCTGGTTTGTGTCAGTAACCACCGAGCCTGATACAGTAGCAGACCCTTAGCTGACTATGGACCTACTTCTACGCGTTATATATATCTCATTCCTTGCGCTCTGCATCTTTCGAGACAAATCGGATCTGTTTTATTTACACCCAGCTCGTAGAACTCAGCAGATAAGTACCTGATTGCAACCACACTGAGCACCAGTTTGGCCGGGGGAAGGTACAAACTGAGTTGTACGGTATGTTGTCTCCCTTTGCCATTTTCGAAGGTAACTTATGGTACTGATACTAGATATTACCATTACGTCATGGTCACGTGACATTCTACACGGTAGTGACTACTCGGGTCAGTTTGGGGTCAGTCACTGACACTAACAAATTTCAAAGACTCAGACGGCTGCCACCTGGGAGTTGAAGCTAGCCTTCACTAGCAACTCCAGAGTGCAATGCGCTTTGCACAGTCTCTTTGGATTGCCTCGTTTTTATCGGCCTCACTTTTATTGATGGTGTTTTGCGGTGCGTCAGGTTGCCAGTGGGAGAAGAAAACAGACACTCGTGGACTCAGTAGACATCGCGCAAGTTGTCATTTTTACAGAAGGTCCGGTGTCCTTGCAAGTCAGAAGAGACAGGAACGCGCCAGAGAGGCGGTTTGTGCGAATGTGGCTTCTAGTGCTACTAGCAGTACCTCCAATTCACTTGTGGGTTGCCCTCCGACTCGTAGTAGCTGTTTCATTGATTCTTGACTCACATGAAATCTAGAGAATCGGTCGTCCACGACCAATTGCCCCTTGTCGATCCCCAGCAGGACGAAGGCTGGGGTCTGCAGCGGCTCACAGGTTTATCCAATACCTCCATTCTCGCTGACTTGCAGCCATCCCTAGACCTAGGGTCTCCACAAAATGATGGTGACATCGAGATGGAGGCCAATGATAACCGCGGAAATGACTTTCAATTTGGTTCGTATCTCTTCGAATAGCAGCTACTATTCCTTTTTTGATCATCCGGCTATTTCAGAGGAACCAGGACACCGTACAAGACGGATTCCGAGACCTTTCTACGATACCCAGCCATTAGAAGAGGATCTCAATTACTCTGACAACTGCTGACGGTCAGGATATTTCAACTCAAAATTCGACTGCAGTAGTCCCAGCCCAATTCAGAATTCGACGCGTTCTTCTAACGCTAAGGGACACATTGCAGACCACCTTCAACTCGTTTGGCCTCAGTCGATTATACCCTCGTCGGCCCTCCTTCGAACCAAACAAATATATTCCATCCTCGTTGCTCGCGCAAACATGTCCTACTATCGATGAAGGAGTCGATTCTCTACCGAAAGTCCTCGGGCCACCGTACCCCTTTGCTAACATGACAATCTACCGACTTATCTCCTGGATGAATAGCGGTAGTAGTCGAGTATCGGAAGCTAAGGTCGCGGCCCTCGTCAAGGATGTGATGATGGCAGAGGATTTTGACCGTGAGCATCTTCGGGGGTTCTCGGTGAGGCAAAGCTTGCGAGAGTTGGATCAAGATCAGAGTGGGAAGAAGATTTCTTTCCCAGATGACTGGATTGAGAGCAACGTCACCATTGACATACCAACAAAATCACGGGAGGAGAGGCCTAGGCCTTATACCGTTCCGGGATTTCATTATCGCCCTCTTGTCAATGTTATACGCGCAGCCTTTGCAGATGCTCAAGCGGCGGCATTCCATCTCTCGCCGTTCAAACATATTTGGCAGGATCCATTAGACAATCACCAAGAACGGATATATGACGAGCTGTATACTTCTGATGCCTGGCTAGAAGCTCAGGACAGTCTCCACAAGTCGCCGAGGGAGTTTGGGTGTTCACTCGAACGTATCGTTGCAGGTCTGATGTTTTTTTCCGATGCCACTCACCTGGCAAACTTTGGAACCGCCAAGGCCTGGCCGCTTTATGTCTACTTCGGAAACCTGACGAAATACGTGCGTACGTCACCTACATCAGGATCCTGTCACCTTGTAGGATTTTTACCTTCAGTAAGCCCTTCTGGTTGTATATTTATTAACCGCTATTGATATTGACTGATCTCGGCAGCTTCCTGATAGTATCAAGGATATTCTGAGTGGTTTGCCTCGGATATCAAAAACCGGCATGGCCACTCTTCACACCCATTGCCGCAGGGAATTGTTCCATGCATGCTGGGAAATCTTGCTGGATGAAGAATTTGTTTACGCATACCGACATGGTATTGTCTTCAAATGTGCCGACGGAGTCATGCGGAGAGTATTTCCCCGAATTTTTACGTACTCTGCTGATTATCCTGAGAAGTATCTTGTTTTTAATTGCAAAAAATATTGGATGACTTATAAATCACTAGGGCTTTGATTGCAACCATCAAGGATATGGGCATGTGTCCATGCCCTCGTTGCCTCACACCGAAAGGCTTGTTTAGTTGTCTCGGTCTCGTCAAGGATATGAAAAGCCGCATGACTAACCTCCGAGTGTATGCTATGACGAAGGTTATAGAGGCTCGCGAGTATATCTATGGGCGAGGAAACACTGTAGACAGTGCAAAGGTCGACGATGCCCTTGGAGAAGGCTCATGGGTACCTATTATTGTAAGCTGCAACTGGTTCAGCAATAGTTTACTATGCACTCATATTAGCACTCGTAGAATCGGTTCGTCGAAAAGCTTGGACCGTTTGGTCTCGACCCATTTCGCATGCTCAGTCGTCGACTTCATGCATGAGTGCGAATTGGGTACGTGGAAGGCACTATTTACACACCTGGTGAGGCTTCTTTATGCCCTTCCTGAGGGTACTAAGCTCGTCGCGACCCTCGACGCCAGGTAAGTAGAGTTTACATGAATTGCAGTTGCGTGCTCATAAGTTGTTACTTCTCATTTTGACGTTAGATTTCGTCAGCTCCCAACATTCGGCAACGGCGTGATACGAAAGTTTGCGAACAATACCTCCGAGATGAAGAGACTAGCAGCTCGTGATTTCGAAGATATCTTACAGGTTTCTTGCATTATTTCTTTTTCGACAGTAGACTCGCTGACGCCCCTCCAGTGTGCTCTTCCGGTTTTTGAAGGGCTTTTCCCCCCTGACCATGATGCAGCGGTACAGTCTCTGTTATATCAATTCGCACAGTGGCATGCACTTGCGAAACTTAGGATCCATTCCGAGTCTACGCTGGTTTTATTCGAGGAAACATTCAAGAAACTCTCCCGGACTTTGCGGAAGTTTCGGGATTTCACCTGCACTGCCTTCAACTGCCGTGGAGCTGCCAAAAGAGAAAGCTGCTCGCCACAGAAGGTTAGCCCAGCGCTCCGAAACTCATAATGCATCCCCAGAATCAACTGGTGCGAGGGAAAAGAAATTAAATTTGAGCACATACAAATTCCACGCCATGGGTGATTATGTGAAAACTATCAGGTTCTTTGGGACCACTGATTCGTTCACTACTCAAATCGTGCGTTCCAATTACATTCTCGCTAGTATTACCCTAAAGTCCATCGACAGGGAGAGCTTGCACACAGAGCTCTGAAGGCATTCTATCCACTGACCAGCAAGTTGGACACTCCGGCGCAGTTAGCGAAGCATGAGCGCAGACGTCGCGTCCTACGGCAGATCGCAGAAGCGGGGGGTACACCCCCTTCTGTCAGTAAACCACCAGTTGTACCAACAATAATGAGGTGGATATGGACTATGAGGAGACCGGTGAGGGTTATATTGGATGTAGTGACGATGAGGATGATGATCAAGAAGTGAGTGATGAAGAGCTTAGTGGCGAGGAACTGGTCGAAGATGACTGTGAAGGGGATGACAACAACAACGACGATCTCCCATCTTTTTAAATTCGCAATTGAAACTTGTCTTCTCTTAGAATATCCACTTACCCTTGTCAGCCTGTCTAGCCTAGGAAGAGCCTGACCTATGATTACTTGAAGTCAATTGTTTGTATGCCTAGGAGGTGCCTCTCGTGTATGCCCCTTGAATCATTGACTCGGACGCACTGCAGTGGCGAGTCATGACAACACGTGACCTTGACCGACGTGGGGAACCACTTTCGCACAAGTTGGACCTGTTGTAGTAGCACCTATAGGTCACAATCACAATTTATCTGTCTTCGCATTTATTCGACAGCCATGGCTACCCTAATTGCATATTTTTCACAACCTGCCCAGATACTCACCCTCGATGAACCATACGACGGAAATGCACGAAAAAGGATGAAGTGGCAATGGCAGCAGCATCTCAGTATCTCCTTCAAGTCGGTAATTTTACAGATGAGTTCTCTGAACTTTGACTTACTTGTGAATAGCTCCAAATACAATGAATTTGTGAAAGGTATGCGTGACATCTATCCCGAGATCAATTATCCTGAACACTGTCTCAGCTCAGCCCTAAGAGGAGATCGTTTTCACAATGCCTGATGGTTCAGAGCACAAGAAGCAAGTCCCATCCATGGATGTTGCAAACGAAGTTTTGAAGAGTCTTCCAGAATGAATCGTGATCGCAAAAGTATGTGACTCGATTTCTTGATTTTCAGATTATGACGCGATTTGTGCAGGTCGATGGTGATATAAGGAACTTCGTGCAAATCATCAGACTTTGAACATCCAGAAGGTGTGCGGGGATATACACCGCCTTTGCACCTTGTGATTAATTATTGTAGGCAAGAGGGTCTTCTGGCATTCGTCTGCACATGCATGTGTTTGGTGAAGCTGCTGAGTTCTAGCGTCCGGGCATCTGGGCATCCGGTAGGTACAGTCAATTTAATCCATGCATGAGCTATCCTTACGCCTTGACAGTAGCCCTCGTGCGTCTATGATGGTCCTGGGCGCTTGCTGGCTTCCAGCTCTCCATCCAATCGGTTACCGTTGCCAATGTACCCGTCGTTGATGCCTCTGCTCCACCTCTATATTCAGCCAAGAATCTCAATCCAAGTAGCACCAGTCCATCCTATCGTTCAACAGCACTCGCCTCCCCACACCAGCTCACAGATAGTACTTCGTGTTCTTGAATGTTCATTGCTAGACAAAACCAAGTGGGCGTCAATAGTTAGCAAAGGGTGAGGTGCATCTACTACTGCCGAAGGTCTCTGTGAGACATCGACGATTACCTCGACCTCTCATGACCGACTCTTACTAGTGCCAATCTCGTACAACCAGTATACGTGCAGATGTTATCGAATGAACTACTCTGAAATACATTCCACGTCTTCACATTGCAATGGGTGCTCCCGCAAATGACGATTATTTGGTACTGCACGTACAGTAGTGCCAGTGCTAGTCATCCTATCTCACCATTCGAGCCGCCTTGCCATTGCCACTTTATGCGTCATTTCGAATCACGATCCAATTGGATTTTCTATAGCATCTGACTGCCGTGACGGACCTGTTTCCCCTTGAGTCTTCGCCTCGGCAGCATCGCGCAACATCAAACTCAGCCTATGTAAGCTTTCACTAGCACGAAATGCCGAACCCTCGCTAATCTTCGCTTAGAACTTCTCATGATTTAACGGCCCTATAACATTGCTGCGCACTGCTACTTGCCAGTGTTATATTTCGGTACGCATTTACTTTCCAGGAACGTTATGAGAAAATTAGGTATCTACAGAAAGCTTTGGCCTAAATGGTTTCAATCTTCGTTTCCCTGTCTATTTTTAGTAGTTTCAAAAGAAGTGTCGCTACTTACAGCTACTTTGTGCAGTTTTGTAGGAGTCCGGCTGCCACGTCTGCTGTTATTGCGGACTACGCTTAAACTGTCTAGTTGGAGCGAGCATCCAGCACTCAGCCAGCAGCCGACCAGTATATAAGAGCGTGATGGTCAAGTTCCTTTCCCTCGTCTCGCACCCCTTCCACTGCACACATTTCTTGTCTGTGTGGCGGCTACATTCGATTTCGATTTCGAACCCATTTTTATCTTCTCTTTCTCCGAGTCGATGTCACAAGCTGATGGCAGCACGCTGCATGACAGAACGCCACCTGTTGAGGACCGAGAGGACGACGACGGCCTTCCAAGTCAGCAGGGTCCAGAATCATTACAAACCTCGCCGCAGTCAATGTTTCTGCAGGCTCGCCAAAGACGGAAAATTGCCGAATTGGAGGGGAAGATAGAGGTTGTCGAATCTGGGCGGGCAGTGAAAGAAAGGCATGCCCATCATTTCGTCCGTTGGGCAGATCTTGCTCACTATTTTTCAGGCAAACGAATTACTTCCTGGCTCAAGGCAGAGGCCTTAAACGCGTCGTTGTTTTGTTTGATACTGTTGAAGATCTTGTCGCCGAAAACGACAGAAGATACGAGGATAATGACGAGGATGCCACTCTTGAGTAAGTTTTCTCGTCATTGATTGTCACGGTGAGCGTACTGATGGGTTATGTAGTCAAGATCGGTTAGAGTCAGGGTACAGTATTCTAATGAGAACCTTGCCATGGTTTCTCAAGAAAACCTCAGATATGGAGCACGACGACTACATGCGCATGTTAAAACTGGTGGGTCTTGCCGCTGTCAATGATTGGCTTTATCATGTTGAATTTTTGTTAGCTGAGGCAGGGCGCAGATGGTGCTCGAGGGGACGATACCTCAAAACTCAAGGCTCTTGTTTCGGATTGGGTCAATCGCGAATTTAGGCCCAACCCTCCGATCGATATCAACGATAAACATTCCCATGGATTTACCAGTGATGCATGTGGAAAGTTACTTTGTCCGGCTGAACTTGATTGGAATGATCCTGTGTACTAAGTGTAGGGTACTCAGCATCCTGAGCAACGCTGACTGTTTCTCAGTGTTAGGGCAGGGATTAGAGACTGCTCTGACGGTCACATTGTGACGGATTTCTCTTTCCCGGTGTTTCTTTATGACAAGTACGTTGCTGATCCGGAAAATCTGGAGGAAGGCCTTTTCAAGGGGAAAATCCTGCTGCAGGTTTATCGCACCTGACTCAGAGTCACTCAACAATGAACTCACTATCATTCACAGGGCTATAAAGCCGTGTTCACATCACCCTCTTCAGCGAAGGACGTGGAGGGTGACGGTGACGGTGCCGATGTCATTCAGAATAACAGGCGCGCTAACAAGGCGGTGCTCGCTGGAATCAAAGTCAAGAAACATGTGGCCCAGATTATCAAGATGGAGAAAGTCACACCTCGCTCGATAGCATACATCGCTTGTCAAGTAAGTTATCATGACGATATATATTCTGATCAATAATAAATGATTTATACCCTGGCAGGTGTGATTTTCCCTTTCTTCTGTCACGTCATGGCGGTCTGTCGACGGTGACTTCGATTATATACAGTTCTGGCAGACTATCGTAGATTTCTTCGAGAGACCCCCTGGTCGAGAAGCGCAGCATAGGGTCGACAAACTTCTCGAGTGGTGGACCAGGTGTGACATCTAATATACCCTGAACAAACCTCGACTGATCTCATGTTGTTCAGGAAGGTTTTTGGAAGAAGTTGCCGTGAAGACCTTACCAACGTGGTGAAGGCCAGGATGTCTGTGAACGCTCTCGCAAGGCAAAGGGCACAAATTGACGATGCTACCTTCGATTCGAATTAATGATCTATTATTATGATATAATGTTTTCAGTGACACCTAGCTTTCTGATTGTGATAGTTTACTATTAATGCCATGAATCGGTTATACCTGTCTAGTGCGAAACGTAATGTGCTGGCTATACTGCAATACCGACGGACGTCTGTAATTATTAAGAATGATCTCCAGAGAATGATTTGAGCTCCAGTCCCGGGATTCGTGGGTTTGTGTTTATCACGTTGAATCTAGGAAAGCTAGGCGATCACTGTAATCTCTAGATTTTTTGGCCATGCTGCCCACCACTGTACACAACTCACGAACTTGCAAAATGAAAGTGATTGAGAGACGTGTCAAATTCAAAGTCATGCCGAGGATACTTGAGATAGTAGGTTTGATTTCAATTGCTTGTGAGCCGCCCATAATTCCTTCTGTATTTACGAGGTGCTTATGAATATCCTATGTTGCCCAACAAAAACATTATCATTGGATTGAGGATCTCAACTTCTGAGATCCCACATGCATGCGAAAGCAATAACTCTACAGGGTGCTAAAAGACACGACCGTTTGGATGTATAAGGAAATGCATACAATAGATGTTGAACATTAAGGTGAGTACCGGAGTTGTGCATGAGCCCCCAGCACCGAGTTCGAGGGAGAGGTGCGTCGCTGCAATGATACGACGTCCGCGTGCAGCCACGACTTTGACTGGATGCTTGACCCAGTGGATATGAGGAATGTCGGATCGCAAGGCGGGTACCGAGATGATGCATGAACCCTCGGTACCGAGTTAGAGGGAGAGGTGCGTCGCTGTAATGATACAACGTCCGCGCGCAGCCACGACTTTGCCTGGATGCATGAACCAATAAGATATGGGGGATGTCGAATGGTAAGACAGGCACTGAGGTGATGCATGAGCCCTGAGCACCGAGTTCGAGGGAGAGGTGCGTCGCTGCAACGATACAGTGTCCGAGTTACAGTCTAACTTCTCGTGACGCAGTTGCAACTGATATATAGTTGTCAGCCATTAGATACACAAAGAAGGTCACCTTAAGACTCGAAGCATGATACAAATTGATTGTTGCCTGCTTGTTGGCCATAACCCAGCTGGTACGGAAAGGCATAGCTTATTCGCACGCGTTCCAAATTGAAACATAGCTGACAAACATCGGAATAACAAAGATGCTGCATACAAAGTCGAAGCACGCAGGAATTCTTTTGTGGCCGTGCGCTCGGATGAATATATTCTTGTAGTCAGGAGGATACAGGCTTTCACGCTTACATGTGAATTTGACATGAAAGTGACGGAAAATTAGCTTTTCAGGTAGGTGTATCAAGATTTAATAGCGTACACACATATATAGTCCCTCGCTAAGGTTAATGCAGCCTCATTCCCTGCAAAACTCGGGCTTTTAGTCTTGGCTTGGATATTGTAAACCTTACCGCCGATATGACAATTTTGATTCATGTAGATCAACCAGTAGCTTTTGTTCCACCTTCCCTTCAACTTTCACTTTGAGCGATGATGAGACCTTTTTCCGATCTTAGCGTTTTATGGTGAAATCAGAAAAACTCCTTTCCGATATAAGGGCAAAAATGACAATGTGATGCTCGATAGCAGAATTATGTTGATTATTGTGATTATGTACTATGTATTGTGATATATGGCCTTGTACTTTCCTCACCAGTTCACTGATGTCAGCTCGCAGTTCTTACACTCCATCACATCTTCAGAACCTTCAAGTTTGAGGCAAGTACTATAAAAGCAAGGTGCCAAGCGAAGTACTGGACAACGTAACGTTCACCTGCTCGGGGTATGTCCAATGCCTAGCAAATAAATAAACACGTGCTGATCGTGACTTTGTTTTGGGTGATTTTCGAATTGCATTAGCAACGTCAGACAAACGAATAGCAATTTCATGGGTGAGAGGAGACTCATCCTGAGGCAAAACGAAATACTTCATGAAGTATTGTCTCATGCTCTACTTGTCCTTTATTTCGCAATATATTTAGGCCTATAGTCACAACAGCCACTTGGCTTCAGATCCGCGTGATGACTCGGCTAGTGAGCGCGGACACATCTACCATTTCCCTTCTTAATTATATGTATTGTGTTGAATTGCACGTGTAGGAAGGAGAAAATTCAAACTACATTTATGCAATCCTGACAGTCTGAATGATATTCATAAGCATAGACCAGTGGCCAGGAACAATCAAAACATGCACTTTGGCATACAACGAGTCTATGACCTTGCTAACTTATTCCAGGTCCCGATTGCTGCACCATACGTGGTCTGAAAAAAGGATGAGCACGAACGAGACGAGCGAGAAGAAAGGACACACGTCAGCTTCTAGCTCATCAAATACGATCAGGCATCCGAGTCATCCCTGATCCAGCACGCCGTGGAACACCATGTCCAAGATCATCTGAGATAGCCTAAAACACAATATGAGCTACTTTCCAGAGACAATTCAATATCCACTTGGCCTCAGTGTCCTGCCGTCCTTGACTGACCTGTTTGGCAACGTAGTCAATCTTTACCATCGAGTACGGCTCACCGATACGCAGCAAATTCTGCTGGAGAAGGGTGTCATAAAGTGCTGCAGAATTTTACTGCGAGCTTGATATAGAGAAGTGATGTTACATCTTCTGGCTGGAATGCATATCAAAATGACTGATGAGTCAAGATCAGTGACAACACACCATATTCAACATGACCTTGCACAAAAGCATGTACTTGAGTGCGTTCAGCGCTGCTGGGTCATCCTGCGATGACATGTTCTCAAAAGTCTCATAGAAATATGAGTATGCGATAGTGTAATCTTTGTCCTTGGCATGGAGAACACCAGATTGCAGGTCTAACGCTGCTTGAAGACCAGGACAATACATATATTGAGTTTACAGCGGACCTAGCGAAAGTGATGGCAGCCTTTGCATTTCGTGGACGTAAGCGTACAATGAGAATACCGGGATGGCACTCGAAGGACCAACCTTGGACTTCGACAGGTTTCCGATGCCACGGTAGATGTGACTCTCGAGCAGGTGTACTTCGGTAAGAATCATCTTATCATCTAACCTTTCAAGCTCTGTCAAGAATGCGTCGATTTGCGTTGAGGCTAACTTGCACATTGATTGCTGATCCATCGGAGGTCGATGCTGAGATGCTGAGAGCATGTCATGTTAATGACAGAACGTGTCGGAAAGTTTGTCATACCAATGAACGTGAGAAGGGGAGGGACTCCGGGACGCAATTGCTATAATAGAACACATCAATGCTACTCTTCTTGTCAATGACGAGTGTCATCGACTCACATTTATGAAAAAAGAAGGTCCTCTGCAGGCGGTACCATAATATCCATGGTGAGCACACGAACACTCCGCGGAATAAGCCACCCTGCTAGCGAAGGAGAAAGATCTCTAGGATAAGTGATATGGAGACTGCGGAGGTTCATTAGAAAAGGTAGTACTCCCCAGGCAGACCCATCAAAATCAATGCAACGATGGTCTTCACTGGGCATGATGATGTGGAAGGAATGAAGATGCTTGCGATTTCTCAAGAATTCCGAGATAGCAGGCACGAGGTCCCTGTCTGTGACATGTCGATGCAGACTGATAATCTTGAGAGCAAAATGTGTCAGGAACGGAAGCGAGGACCTATGCAGGCGAAACAAATACCTGACAATGTGAGCGACTCCAGTTGATGACCGGTGGACAAGATCTCTGAAAAGCCCTGGCTGTCTACGGAAAACAGCCCTCAGGCCTGAAACTCGATGATCGTCAAGTGACAGACGGAGATGGCATCCGTTGGGAATTTCCAGTTTGCATTCTTAATGGAAAGCGAGCACACGTTGTCATGACTCTGTGATATAAAGTCATGGGTAGATGTGCTGTTT